AAGCTGATTCACATCTCAGCCCCATTACACACGGCTGTGTGACCTGGGGCTTCTCTTTGGGCAATGACCCATGAAGTGCCTGCCTCACAGCTAGTACCTTGTAGCAGGGGTTCAGTGGGGAGGAGAGGAGCACCGGGCATGATGGTGCTTGGTGAGTGTGGGAACGCGCCCCTCTGTTATCAACACATTAAGACTGGCTGGCTGCAATTTGTAAAAAATGACCAACGATTGATCCTGAATACCTTGAATGCCATGATTATTAAAATGGAGTCTTAAAAGTGATAAATATTTTAAACTAGTAGAATAAATTACCTTTAGATGATTTTTACTTATTTCTCAGAGAAAGCGAGCGCAAGCAGAGGGAGAAGCAGGCTTCCTGCCGAGCAAGGAGCCCGACGCAAGACTCGATCCCAGGACCCTGGGATCATGACCTGAGCCAAAGGCAGATGCTTAACAGACTGAGCCACCCAGGCATCCCTAGATGATTTTTACAATTCTTTATTAATAATACATTGCTTGTGTGGTATTTTAGAGCTCGTATAGTATTTTAATACTATTTTAGTTCATTGTGTCTTAAGTTTTACCAACAAACTACTTTTGATGGCAGAAAAAAGTAAATACTCTGAAGAGAATAGTGTAGAGAAGTGTGTGTGTGTGGAGGGGGTGGGGGGATAGCGCAAAATGGCAAGTAGGCAATTTTTTAAAGGCCAGCATTGTGTCTATAAAATCACATCAGTTTTCTGTTTTTCTCCATAAAAATTTTGCATTACTATCAGTATAATATTTTAAATATTTTGCCATTACAAATGTTGGTTCAGGAAGATATGCTTTGTTTACCCATGTCTTCTAACATGCCTGGTACCTCCCTCAGACCTTTTATTTATGCATGTCAAGTGAGAATCACTGTCCTACTGCAGCAACACAACAAACTGATGAAATACATTTTGTACTTTGTTCATAGTTGAGGAAATTGAGTACCCACAGTTACACAGTTACTAAATGGAAGAACTGGGAGGTTCTCCCCCTGGAGGTGTCCCATGTCCCAAGTCCCCAAACCTGGTCTTTTTTTTTTAAGATTTTATTTATTTATTTGGAGGAGAGCGAGAAAGTGCATACATGAGCAGGGGGAGGGGCAGAAGGAGAGGGAGAAGCAGATTCCCAGCTGAGCAGGGAAGCCCAGAGGATGCCGGCTCAATCCCAGCACCCTGGGATCATTACTTAAGCCAAAGGCAGATGCTTAACCAACTGAGCTATCCAGGTGCTCCACACCCCCAAATCCAGTCTTAACACTACTCCTGCCATAACCAGATAATATTTATATTTATGAACAGGAAGATGGTATATAATGAATCATGCTGGGCATGAGTTGACGATAAGTAGATTGTAAGTAGTTCTGTACCCTCAAGCAGTTTATAACCTAATTGGTCTGACAAAATGTTTCCATGAGGGGGAAGGTAAATAATGATTAAAAAGCTAAGGAATGCAGGCAAGAAATGTTAGAGTGCTGTGAGTAACTGATTTCCAAATAAGCAGTAGAGATGAAAGTTAAAAGTTCTGAGGAGGAAGTGTTCAGGTTGGCTGAAGAATATGGAAAGGTTTTGTGGATGAAAAGGGATTTGATTTTATAGTAGTTAGTGTTTCTCTAACCTTTTCCTCTGGTGTTTTGTTTATTGCTAATAATGGCTGAAAACAAGATCTAATTGCAAGCTTAGGTCTATTTTGGCTTGTTTGTTGTTTGAAAGGTGTTTATATTTGTATAGTTTACCGCAGAATAAATAATTTCATAATCGCCCATTCAGATTTCCACTCTTTTCCCTACACTGTCCTTGATAGTGTAGGAAAATGATCTGACGCTAGTGCTCAGATGATTTTTTATTTGATTCACAAGGTTCCTTTTCGATCCCCGGTATAGCACGTTACTCATTTACTTAAAGAGTTTGGCAAGATTTCCATAATAGGGTGTAGTTCACAGTTGGGATTAAGCAGAAAAGGGAAATGGCTATGATGGAAGAGGATCATGTTTCAATGCTGATGGGTTAGGACAAGGGATAAGAGACCAGAGGAGGCTGAAGACAGGAAGAGAAGAGACATGGTGTCCCAGTGGTGTTGACATATGGGTGTAGGGAAGAAACCATGCCAGTCATGGTGCCAGCCACACAGCCCTGCACCTCCTTCTGTCATATACTCTTAGGGCTGGAAGGGATTTCAAGAACAGTTGGTCAGACCCCCTTTATAAAATGTAAAACAGATGAAGAAACAGCCTAAACAGACCAGAGAACTTGCATAAGGTCTCATAAAAGTGACAGAGCTGGGATGAAACCCCGTGTCCCCTGGAATCATAACCCAGCATTCCTACTACCTTCCCTGAAGTGTGCAGAACTCTCGCTGATAGCAGAGGAGAACATTCCTAAATGTGGTAGATAAGGACCCTTTGCTGCTGTCTTTCTAATACAGCAAAGTGGTTTGGAGGTGGTGAGATTAATTTATCTGATGAAGGAAGGCACGTTGTGTCAACGTACAGCACATCAGCATTTCTCAGTCATTTGTGAAGTATGCCCTCTCTGATACTATCTTCTCATCTTCTGGGTAGCACTTATGAGCCAAGAACAGTGATATTGAGCTTTATTTTTTGTGGTTTGTTTTATAAAAGTAATGTACTAGTTGTCCTTTTGCAGCTACATAGGGATATTGATGGAGAATCACTTCTGTTTGAGCTCAATAAGTTGATCCAAATCAATACATTTATGTTATTAAAAAGAGATATATATTCTGTATTTAGCAAAGATGGTATTTTATAGCTATATGCCTGCCATAGAACCCTATGGTGTTATGTGTGATACTACCATAGAGCTCATTCCCCCTCTTGGAATTTCCAGTCCAGTTGGAGTGGCCAGTTGTATGCATACACAGCTTCAAATCTACCATGACTAAAATATGGGACTACCACCAGCATGCATCCCCACTACACCTGTTCCTCCTTTGTCATTAAGTGTCCCCACTGTTTCTTCAGTCGCTCATACTAGAAATACTAGAAACCTAGCAATCACCTCGCTTCTCTTCCCCTTCTTCACTCCCTCATCCAGTCTGGTAGCAGATCCCTCTAACACACCCTTTGTACCCCGGCTTTAGTACCAACAGACCTGTTCATCCTTTAAGTCTGCTAACATTGCTTCTTCAGTCAAGTCTTTAAGTGTCTTCCTAGAAAGAGGTGCTCCTTCTTCAGTGCAGTTGTAGCCAGCAATAAATTTCTCTATTAATCATTGGCTATAGTGCCTTCAAGTCAGGGAACTTACCTTACTTCTCTTTGTAAATTCAGTACAAGGTACATTAGACCCTCAGTTTTTAAATTAGTACATTGAGTGATGGGCGGATTATTATTTGAATTTGTGGTGTTTATGAAGCATCCCAGTGAAGTAAGATTGTCAAGATTGGCAGAGGTCAGTTATTGAAAACCTGAATGCTGTGCAAAGAAATGAGCAGTTACAGCTGGGCACGTGGGTGCACACGGCCTCCCCTGTAGCCACATGTCATCACGTGACTGTTCTGGCCAGCGAAAACAGAAGGGGTAGGTGCCCCTTCCAAGAAAAGAAGTCTCCTTAATGGAGGGGCATATCATTCCCTGTCTCTCCTTTCTGCTGACTGGAATGAAATCTAAGTAGTGGGGGCTCCCGTGGTCATCTGAATGTAGCAGGGCCACACATCCTAGGGTTTGCACAGTAGGAAGCTAAAAGAAGCCTTGGCAGGAAGGGAGGGCATTTCAGGAAGAGGAATTGAAAGAAAGGACACATTTGAAGGTCAGATAGAAGATGACCTGGCAAACGAGACTGAAAAGGAGTCACAGGAGTGATGGGAGGAAAGCTAGGGAAGTGGTTCAGTTAGGAGGACCTGGGTAGCTGCTACCAATTGAGTAAGATAGAGATGGGGAAAATGGATTCCACAACATGGAGCCCTTGGTAAGACCACTGACACGGTAAGGGCAGAAGTGGTATTGGAGTGGCTGAAGGGTAAATAGAGCGTAGAAAAGGACTGTGTAAAGATATTTGCCCTTGAAAGAGAGAATTTGGAATAGAGGGACCAACTGCCAGAGGGTGTGGAGTGAAGGGAAGGTTTTCCTGAGATTACTGGAATAGGCTGATGGAAATAATCCTATTGAGAGGAAAAGAGAGAACAGACAACGGTCTTGAGACAAGTTGATGAGATCCAGAGCAAATGGACAGAGATGGGGTGTTTGCAAGGAGGAGGGACACTTCCTCTACGGTGAAGGGAGTGAAGAAGAAAATGGGGCACATGTGTGGGTGGGCTTATAGCTTTCGGGTGCAGACGTGAGGGAGCTCCTATCTGAACTTTCTCTCCTGAATTATTTAGCAAGGTCATCAGCTGAAACTTCATAGACAGTGAGGCCATCACCCCCATATCTTGTCAGTCTGTTATAGCTTTGTTTTGTGCTATGAGGAGAGTCTCCCGAGTTTTGGATGGATCACGAGCTGCCTGAAAATCCTTTAGTGCCTCTGCATCCCATGGTACACAGGGCACAGCAATCAGCACCCAGCTTCCTTCCCTTCCCAGCCCCATTCTCTCCACTTACTAGCTGTGCTCCCACCAAAGCCGGCTGCCCTGTTACCCTGAAACCACTCACCCTTGCTGCTTCTCAGCCTTTGAACATGCTCTTGCGGCGCTGTCCCTTTCTCCCTACCTTGTGAACTTATTCTCTAAGACCTAATTCTCATATTGCATCCTTTTAAATCTCTTTGATTCCCCTCCTTACACAGGCCAGTAACTATAGCTTTTATGTATAACTATCCTTCTACTGTAATTTTTTTATCTGGACTGAGCACAGTGTTTGGTATAATATATATATGGTAGGCACTGGGTGAATGGATGAATTTTGATTTCTTTTCCTGTTCCTTTAATGATTGTTAATGAATTTAAAATGAAATGAAATGAAAGTTCTATACTCTTAGTATTGATGCAGGGTAAACATTTTTTCCTTTTTTTCCTAGGTGGTTCTGGAATGGAGCCGGGATCAATACCACGTTTTGTTTGATTCCTACAGAGACAATATTGCTGGAAAGTCCTTTCAGAATCGGTAAGAAGAGATCAGTTTCGGAGAGTAGCTTATTTGGACTTAAATGATGAGTCATGAGATCACCCTTGCTTTAAATACAACAGTTGAAGTTGAAGGGATTTTTCCAAGTGTAGATATGGTTTAACCTATTCAGAACCACTCCTATTTGAAGGAATCTGTAGTCCCTCCTGACATTTTATGATTGAAAAATCTAATTAAAATCTGATTCCCAAAGAGTAATCCTGCCTTGCAGAGTTACATGATCTCATTTTATCATTGCCCCAGTTCTGTGAGGTAAAGGTAATTCCATCCTCCTGTAGGATGAGGAACCTGGGTGGCTACCCTGGCCAGTATTATTCTTTTCCAAGCCCTGGCCCATGTTCTTCTGTTGACATCACTCTGTTAACCAGGGCCAGTCCCGTTGAAGCCACCAGACTGAGCCCCCACTCACCTCTGTGGTCACCACATCTTGCTGCCTCACTGTGAGGAGGAGCAAACAACCCCACAGGTTGGGTCTTTTTCTCTTTAAGGCCAAGAAGCTTCTTGGTGCAGCCACTCTTGGATGCTACCTTCAACTTTTCTTTTCCTTGGAGATATTTTTCCTCACTCATAAGTCAGGCCTCAGAGTGGAATCAACCTTTTCCCACATCCTCCTTTTCTTCCTGCAGCTAAAATGAACTGCAGTCTCTTTTTATTTTAATTATTACTTATATTGTTTTATATCATAAAAGCAGTTTGTCTGTGGTTGAAAACAGTTCAAATAATACAGAAAAATGAAAAGTAATGCCTCTCTCTGTTCCATTTTGAATTTCCCCTCATCTAGAGGAAGCATTATTACTGAATTTTTGTTTTGGATTCTTCTGGTAATCATCATTCTAACTTTAAAAAATAAATGGGAGTTTTCTCCCTTTTTATCTGTTCATTTTATGCAGTATTTATTGACTCTTTTCCATTGTAAGGGTGCACAGCGAATCATTACAGGGCAAGGAGCAATAGGTGACCAGAACAAATGTGGGGCAGCTAACAAGGGTAGTTAACCCCACAAAAGTCTAAATGTCAGAGGCCATAACCCAAATCTTCCCTTGATCCTGACCGTTTCCCCCTGAGGATAGTTCCCACTGAACCAGAACACCTAATGAAACTACAAGTAACTACAGTTGGTGTCAGTTAGCACACCTTGACAGTTTCCTGAGACCTGTAGACTACGCCACCAATTGCTCTGGAGCCCTTGCTCCCCGCTTAGAAGCACTTCCTTGTCCCTATGTTCACTTTTCATGAGTGCCTATGTGGTTTCTATCAAATAAGCGGTTTTTTAAATTACTACGCTGATTGGATGTATGCACTCTTACAGTCATGAACATCTTAGGGAGGAAGGGCTAAGGGATTCTTTGATTGACGTAAAGCTTTACTCTTTGCTTTCGTGCCTTTTGTGTGAATGACATCCCTGACTTCACTCCTTTAACAAAGAATGAGTCTTTGAGTCTTCCTCTGTTTGAGACACTGAGATATAACTTTGCGGTAAAGAATTGTGTAGTCTCGTAGGGAGAATAGCATGTAAGCAAATAATTCGTGAAGTAGGGAAACTCTAGGCTTTTCTCTTAGGATCTCTCTTTTTTTTAAGATTATTTATTCACTAGAGAGAGAGAGCAGGTGGGGGGCAGGGTAGAGGCAGAGGGAGAAGGAGAAGCAGACTCCCCACTGAGTAGGGAGTCTGACACAGGGCTTGATCCCAGGACCCAGAGATCATGACCTGAGCCAAAGGCAGACACTTAACCATTTTTGAGCCACCCAGGCAACCCTCTTAGGATCTCTTAAAAACAGTTTTCAAAGACCCCAGCGATCTGTGAAATCAAAACTATTTTTTATGACAATACTAAGGTGTTATTTGTCTTTTTTACTGTGTTGACATTTGCACTGATGGTGTAAAAGCATTGCTGGTAAAACTGCCACACTTTAGCATGAGTCACTGTATTCTTCACTACCCCATATTTGCAGGGGTAAGATAAAAGCTAGTTTCACTTAAAAATGTTCATGATGAAGCAGTAAAAGTTATTAATTTGATAATATCTTGACCCTTTGACCACACATCTTTTTAATGTTCTGTGGGCTGAAATGCACGTGACTCTATGGTGAGTGTCTTGAGGAAAAGCCCTGTGTGATTGAGTTGCAACCTAGACTAGCCCTTCTGTTTCATGGAACACCATTGTCAAAACTTGAAAGGTCAGATGACAGTATTATTACTCAGACTTGGTCATTTGGCAGATGTTTCTTGACAGTGAACAATTCTATGTCTTGAAGGAAAAAAAAAGTAATAGTATTTGTTGCCAGTGATAAAATTTGAGCTTTCAGGTGAAAATAATTTGGGAAACCTTGTTTCTATCATTGTGGGCTTAACAGCTTCACAGTATCATAAAGACTTCTCTGTTTAGATCTGTGGCATTGTCCAAAAAATCACATTCGTTAATACTATGTAAGAAAATGAAAGAAATAGGGCACCATTTGGCAGATCTGCATTTACTCAGTAAGCTATTATTTTCCAGATAACCAATACATTGTTATAGGATCACTGTTACAGATGTTACAGAATCTTGCATGGGTAAAAAAGCCATTCAAAGTGCAAGAAGGACCAGTGGATTTCAGTGGAAAAGCACAAAAAGTTCATTAGTGTGGCTTCATATTCCACACTGCAACTAATTTTTAAGCAACTACCAGTTACTTTGGTGTAGGATCAGAGAGGAAAACCCGCTATTACCTGAAAAGGCTATTATTATTTTTTTTAAAGATTTTATTTATTTGAGAAAGAGAGAGCACGAGCAAGGGGAAGGGGCAGAGGGAGAGAGAAGCAGGCTCCCTTCTAAGCAGGGAGTCCCATGTGGGGCTTGATCCCAGGAGCTTGGGATCATGACCTGAGCCAAAGGCAGACGCTTAACAAACTGAGCCACCCAAGGGGCCCCCTGAAAAGGCTATTAAAATACAACTCTCCTTTCCAGCTAAGTATCTGTATGAGCCTGGGTTTTCATTATATAGTTCAACCAAAACAACACATGGGAATAGATTGAACACGGAACATCTGAGGTGCTTGCTTTCTTCTACTAAGTCATTAAAGAGATTGGCTGAAATGTAAATCAATGCCTCTCTTCTCACTAAATTTTTTTGTTGTTTTGGAAAATATTGTTATTTTCATTTAAAAAGTTATTCATGTTAATGTGTGAAGAGGTTTTTTGTTTTAAAATGAATATTTTTAACGTTTTATTTTCAAATATGGCAAATATGAATAGTTATAACCTATAAACAAGCTTTTTGGGGTCCTTAATAATTATTAAGTGTGAAGTGAATAATTATTAAATGTTCTTTAATATAGCAGTTCTCAGAACCTTAGTGTGCAGCAGAATCCCATGGAAGGCTTGAGAAAATGCATTTTCCTCCCACCCCCAGAGTTTCTGAGTCTGGAGGTCTCAGAGGGGCTCACAGAATTTTCATATCTAACAAGCTCACCGGTGACACTGAAGCTGCTGGTCTGGTGACTACACTTTGAGAACAATTCATTTACAGATTCTTAATGAAATAAAATTTTCCTACTTTGTTTTCATTATAGCCAGTTTTCCTAAGTAAAGCTCAAAATGGATTGTCTTTTTTTTTAATCAAATATTTATCAAGCACCTACTCAACCTCCTGTGCCTTATGTTGTGCTTGTGCTGATGGTGCACACTTGCAGAAATCCTTGCCCTGAAGGAGCTTTAAAACTTTAGAAGGAAAAGTAGCTTTAGAAAATCCAGATATGGAGGTCAGCAGTTCTTGTTCTCTTTCTGAAAAGTTTTGTGTATGTGTGTTAAATATTTCTCCTCCTAATTTTAGATTGCATTAAAATATAGTTTGATTTTTATATAGGGATATTTCAAAATTGCCTAATTTTGATGATGACAAGTAAATGGATCATATATAACATCACATGTTCTGAGGTATTTTAAAATACCATAATATTTGTAGGACATTTTCATTATTTTGCTAGTTTCTCTGCAAGTCTTTTTAATGTTATTTGAAATCTTTTTTAAAACAAAGTTCTATTCTATATGTCATTAAGAAGTGAATATGTAAATTATCTACTGCTACTAATTGTGAAGCATTAAGTCAGTCTGGGGACTAGTCATCTCTCAAATGTAGGTATTAGATTAATTAAGTGTAAAATCTCTTCCAACTCTTTGGATCTAAGATACCATTTATAGAATGGTAGAAACAAGGGACTACATTCATAGTGTCCTTTATATGTCATAGTGCCTGTATATTTACTTAAACTAAACTGATTAAAATAAAAGCTGTATTACTGTCACCATGGCTTTGGTTCTGAGTCATACGTGACTTATTTAGTCTTCAGCTCTTTGATAAAGACTTTCTTCTCATCTGGAAACTAAGATATAGTGGTCTCGTGGTTAGAAAGAAAGACTCAGACTCACTGTGGCCATGTCTAATAGTAGAAAAACAACTGACTCACTGACCTGGGGCAGATCACACGATCTCCTTAGTTTGTTAGTTTAACACCAGAGAATTAAATTCATCATATAATACAACCGTATTAGAAGAGCCAGTACATAAATCCATTATATACTTAATGTTTTCCCCAACTGAACATGTATAGATATCTCCTCACTCTGTTAAAAAATTTCTAATAGCAGGTAATAACTTGTACAGGATAGCTTTGGAATGTGCAATTCTTCTTTTTTTTTTAATCTTAAAAAAAAACTTTAAAAATATGTCACCAAAGAAGTTTTTTCAAATTAATTTTTGGTCTGAACTATTGGGAGTGAGATGACCTTGGATAATTTAGGTGTGGGCAGTGCAAGACATTTCTTTTTAATGGAAAAGACTGATATATATGTTGAGGGAATGAACTTAGAGTTAATTTAGCCAACAAGTATATGTTAAACCCCACTCATGTACCAGGCCCTATTCCTAGGCATCTCGTGATGACCAAGAGGAACTCATTGACCTCATAGAGAATTGGCATTTTAGCGGGGGAAGCTATTTTTTAAATTTTTTTTTAACTTAAGTATGTGAACTACAACCTGTATATATATCATTAATTCTTAGTGTGGATTTCTGGACCAGCAGCATTGCCATACCTGGGAACTTGTTAGAAATGCAAGTTCTGGGGCCCCACTCCAGGCCTACTGAATCAGAAACTCTGGGGATAGAGCCCAGCAATCTGTTTTACAAGCCCTAAGGTAATTCTGATGCATGCTAACGTTTGAGAACCAGTGGTATAATAAATGCATTAAAGGACCTGAGGAAGCTTTCGCATACTGTTTTGGTGAGGAGAGAGAACCTGAAGGTATAGGAAAGAGAGGAAGTCATTAATGCGGCAGGGCACAGAATGTATGGTACCACATCTGCCCTAGATAGTCCATCTAGTGGAAGACAGACACACGTAAAAACTAGTATAACATAGTGTGCTAAGGATTCCTTAGAGTACAGAGTACAATGGAAGCTGCATGGTAAGCGGTACATTCTCTTTGTGGGAGGTGAGGGGAGCGGGCGATTGGGGAAGGAGGAAGTGGTTCAACAAAGCATGTAAAAAAGGATATTTTAGGCAGAGGGAGAGGCATGTTCAAAGGCACAAAAGCTTGCAAGTCTTACTCTGTTGGGGTAAGCAACCAGAGTGTGTAGAGCACAAGGTGCAGATTATGATACGGTTTGGATGTTATTCTGCAGACAATAGTGAACATCGTCAGGAGGGTTGGTAGATGTTCAGCTTTCACATATGTCTCGAGTATGAGGTGATTCCTCATTTTTCCCCTGAAGCTCTGGGTCCCTGGTTCCTCTCTGACCTTCATCTTCTCTTATGCTCTTCCCTTTTCTCCCCTTGTCTCTGCCACACTGGCCTTTAGCTCCTTGACCATTGCCAGTTAGGTGTCTGCTTCAGAGCATTTGCACGTGGTGTTCCCATTCTCTGAACCATTCTTCCCCCAGTTACCCACATTGCTTGCTTCCTCAATTCCTTCACATCTTTGCTGAAATGCCACTTGCCTGTGAGTCATGATGAACTCCTGTATCATAGGTCTGAAGTAGACCTGAAAGATGGGGGGGATTTTGGTTAAGTTGGAAAAAGAAAGGGGAAGAGAGCTTTCAGCAGGGGTAAAACCTGAACAAAACACTAACACGAGACTTAGGTGAGATACGAATTAGATGCCTGTCTGACTCCTTATTTTGAGGAAAAGATAATAAGGAAAAAACCAAGCAGTTTCAGGAAGGTCTGTGCTAGTGTTTCATATATATCATTGACTCATTTAACAAATACTGAGCTTCTGTGCGCTGGGCACTATTCTAATTGGTTGGATACTTTAGGTAACAAAACAGGAAAGCTTCCTGCCTTCTTGGAGCTTACATTCTGGGGGAGGGACACATACAGTTCCAATGTAGGTAACATGGTAATTATTTAATATGTTAGAAGGTGGTAAGTGCTATGAAAACAAGAAAAAGCAGGGCAGGGGAAGGAGGGTTGGGAGGGGCTGGACTTGGGGCAGCAGGGAATAAGGAAGGCTGCAGCATTAAATAGGGCTGGGTCTTCATTAGGAACTGTTGGATAACTCCTTTTTGGTAATTTTGTTTAGCTTCTAATTTCTCTGTTTGGCTACATTTGCATCACAGCACCCTTGTTTGCTAAATTGAGCATGTAGGAGTGTAAACTGAGCTTCCGAGACCTCCTGACAAGCTTAAAGTGGAGCGATGCAGAACTGCATAAAGATCTGCATGCATCTTGCAGAGAAAGTTCTCAACAAATAGTCTCCCAGCACCAGTTTGAAAACATGCAATTCTATGATATGGTTGGCTGGTTGGATTACCTTTCATTGACTTTTTTTTCATAACCTTTGAATTTAAGCCCTGTTACACTCTTATTCCCAAATGTATTGGAAAAATGCATGTAAGCTGGAAGACCTGTGGGTTTGCCCTAGGCTCTGTCTGCCCATGCCGATCGACGTGGTTTATACCTGGGTGAATGGCACAGATCTTGAACTACTGAAGGAACTACAGCAAGTCAGAGAACAGATGGAGGAGGAGCAGAAAGCAATGAGGTAAAACTGATTCTTTAAAAACAAAACACACACAGTTCTTTGAGTACAAGTAACGGTGCATTTCAGAAGGGAAGGGTGATGTTCACAATGCTATCCAAACAAAAATCTGACAACATTGCTAGCCCATCTCAAATTCGTGCCGTTAGAAGATGTTGTCGGACATGTGTCTGACTCTTGTTTCTTGGTGCCCAAGGAGAACTCAGCCACTTTAGTGACTCTTGGCCTTACTTCGTAAGATGGCCATTTTATGACTGTGCTACTCTAGTGATGCCTTGCTCTCCGAGGGCCCTAAAGGGAAAGGAGCCTCCCAAGAAAGCTCTAGACTTCCTGCTTACTCAGGCTGAGTCCCAGGTGTGATATCTTCATGAAATAAGGTGTTTGTTTTTCAACGTAGCTTCATGGTAAGACCCGTCATTCCTTGAAAAACAAAACAGGCCTACAGACTTTTTTCCATTTGATAAAGACAAAGTGTATTCCTTCTATCCTTTTTAATATCAAATCATACAATATGGAATTAGAAACTTTGCTAGTTTTTTTGTATACGGAATTTTGATCATTTTATTTCTTTTATCTGAGAAAGGTACAATGCCCTTGAATGGAGAGTCTTTAGAGCTATGATTCCTTAGCAGTTTTTGTTGAGAATTTCTCCATTCATTTCTTTGTAAATGTTAATGGGTGCTCCCCAGTTGCAGGTCATTGACCAAGTTGTACTGCAACAAATTGTCTCTTTCTCTTTGTGTTAGAGAATATTATACCTTCCCAGTGCATGAAAATGACTTTGGCAGCCTGGTACCATGTTTTACTAGTAAAATGTAAAAGCTTAAATTTTAAGCTTTTTTGATTACTCTGGGAGGTATGTGATGATAATAACTTGAGCATATTTCATTGAAACTTAAAATTTATTATGCATCTTAAATGTTGTAAGCATTATATTTCCTAACCTACTGGTTAGTTCCAGGGGGAGTAACCAAGAAAATCAATGTTGTGAGTCACCTCTTGTTCACATTTAGGGCTAGTACTAGCCCATGCATATGTAATGAAATATATTTGCTTTCATTAGAGAAATCCTTGGGAAGAACACAACGGAACCAACTAAGAAGAGGTAAGTTTTGATTCTCCTCTCAGGAATAGAAGTTGAAGTATTGAAGTGAAACTTCCAGGTTCTCACTTGTTTTTGTTGGATACACAGTATTTTGCATTTATTGTTCCTCTTCAATCCCTCATCTGCTAGTTTTTGACCCCCAAATTAAGTGCCTTCATTAGATGGAAGATCTTGCAGTGCCAAAGGCATAGTTGATTGAGAACTCTTATTCAGGTTGTACTTAACCAAAGCTTTATCGTTTCCGGATGGGTTAGGTTTCTGGATGGTAAGGTTTTCTTCTCTGTCATTTTCATTAATCTGTCTTAGTGTTCCGTTCTCTTGGTCCACTTAAAAGTATGACTTATACCCAGTGTTTTCATTTCTAGAATTTATATCCATCATTCAATTGTGTGTTCATAATATATTTCCTTTAAAAAGCTGTCCTAGTTCTGTCTTATATTTAAGGACTTGGGAAGAGGATTTAGCCTAATGCCAAGAATCAGATGGTGCCTATCATGATTTAAATCATAACTGACTCTGATAGGCCCTTAAAACAAGACTGCCTCACTGTCCAGCGGAAGTCTCTGTTAACTGCACTCCCCCACTTAACCTTTTACACTTATTATTAGAGTTATTTTATAGAAGTGATCCTGAGGAATTTTGAGGTCTAGAAGTACCCTCTGAATCATTTCTTTATGTTATATATATTTATTTATAAATATACTGCTGTAATACTACTGTTAATACTTTTCAATACTAATATAAATATATTACTCTTAATACCACTGTTAATATTTTTAATTTTTAAAATACTGTTATTTTTAAGTAACAAATAAATTTTTTAATTATTCAAAGTAATGCTGCCATGTTACAGAAAGGTTGAAAGGACCTTGAAAAGAACAGGCTTACATAATTCTATGGTCCTTATTCAACAACTGTGATCATTTTATTATTCCCTTTTCATACATGTATTTATAGTTGTAATTTATAATCTTTTTTGTAATTTATAATCTACAATTTTGTATACTTTTCAAATTTTATATGATCTGTACATCTATGTTGATAAATTATCTTCATGCTTCTTCTCAGTTTTAATAGTTTTATAATATTCCATAAAGTAACTGTACTATAATTTACTAAATGTTGGGCACTTCTGTATTTTCACTATTGTAAATATTTTGTGATCTTATATTTGGGTTTGTCGCATTTTCTTTTTGTGGGTTTGTTTTTCCTGTTTTGTTTCTCTTCTCCTACTTGGATTAGATTCCTGGAAGTAAACTACTGAGGAAGAAGCATATGTATAAGTTTTTATGGGTCTAAATAAGGACACATGCATTTGCTATAAAATTGCTTCTCCAGAGAGGAAATGGGGAATACCTACCTGCAGTGTTCAAGAGGAATAGGTGTACCGTGCTTGCACTAACATTGAATCCATTTTTTGAGGGATGCTAATTTAGTAAACAAAATGTGATACCTCATTTTCTTTTGCATTTCTTTAAATATTAGTAAGGTTGGACAATTTTATATATTAACTAGTTGTAGCTCCCACTTTGTGAATTCTCCAGCTGTGTTTTGTCCATTGTTTATTTAGGTAGTTTGTTTATTCTAGGTATTCCTTATGTTTAGACAGAAGTATCTCATGCGTTCATCTTAGAACCTTGTCACATTTGCTTTTATTTACATCGGTGTAGTGTCTTTCCAGTGTATTTAATTGTGAATTGGTAAATTGTATCTGGTAGGCTGACTAAATTCTGTAAACAGAATTTATCTACTTCCTAATCTGCCTAATGATAGGCTTCACTGGAATTATGAAAATACCTTTAAAATGGTAGTAATGAAATGCTTAATTTCTTGTGCACCTTTGAGTTAGTAAATTTTAGTGGCGATCATATTAATAGGAGTTTGAAAGCGCTTTCTTTAGAAGCTGCACTTGTTTAAAATAATTTTATATCATACTTGCTATCTTTTTATATTCTTGAGATAAGATTCCTTGTTTATTAAATATGATTTTTACAGGATATAGAAAAATACCTGGAAAATTTAGTAGTACCAACGAGCTTTTCAATGTTGGTTAATTTTTCAAGAATGTTTTTGAGCATGTTGGTGTCTGTTTCCAGTGAGAAGCAGTTGGAGTGTTTGCTGACACACTGCATCAAGGTGCCGATGCTCATCCTGGACCCAGCCCTGCCAGCCAACGTCACACTGAAGGACCTGCCATCTCTTTACCCATCTTTTCATTCTGCCAGTGACATATTCAATGTTGCAAAACCAAAAAACCCTTCCACTAATGTCTCAGTTGTTGTTTTCGACAGTGCTAAGAATGGTAAGATCTCCTTACGGGTATTTTAAAATCATGTCATCATTGGCTTTTTGAGTAACAAAATTCTAAATGGAACAGACAGGATTCCGTTTTAAAGAAGTACCTGATAAACTAAAAACATAAAAACAGAAGCAAAAAAGCTGCCACTGTATTTCAGCCCTACTGTCAGAAAGGGATTGCATATATCTTACTCTGTGTAATACATTCGCCTTTCTGTGCTGTGGTCAGGACCTGAAATTTGATACTTCCATTTACCTTATTCTCTTGGCTCTGAGTTATTGTGGAGGCTTATTACTATTATTATTTTTTACCATATAACTCTTCAGCAAGGTTATTTTCTACAGTTTGAACAGAACATACCCGGAACATTCTTACTTTCCATTCTAAATTATCTGATTATACAGTTGATTTGGCCAGATAATAGAATTGAAATTGTAATTTCTGGAGTAGAACAATAGGCACATCTAGAGATCCCATCCTCCCACTTGGCCACTGAGCTGGTGAGCCCTATGCCTGTGCCTCTTCTGGCCTCTTGTCTCTCATGCTTCCTCTGCACTGAGCCTCTCTCCTTGGAGGCTACATGTGTTTCACTTGTGTAAAATGAAAACTGTCATGTTCCCTTTACAACATTGAGCCTGTTCTCAAGTTCCCATTCTTTCAGTGTCATACCTCCCAGCTTAAATCTTTGGAAATATCTTTGATGTGTTCTTACTTTTTACATCCATCACTAATAGATTAACCTCACCCTATTACTTGCTTTTGTTTTTCGCAAATGATTCTCCCCTTTCTTACTCATCTCACTTCCTCCGCACCAGACTGAATTCCTTCACACAGGCTCCGGTGATAGCCGCCTAACTCCTCTGTCTACCTGTAAAGTTCCTCTCCAATCTGTCCGGCACACAATCTGAATGAATCAGAAAGTTCTGATTTTATTTGCTTGCTTCCTTTTTGAAGACAATAATACGGTAGTGTGTATTTGTTACATACATCTTTGTTACAGATTCCCCTTCCTGGTGTTCAGGACCCAGCCTTGATTCTGCCCTTTGTTTCCCCTGCCCTCCTGCCCCCCTCGAGGCTGCCAGTGTCTTCACACATGTGGTGCTGCTGTCCTGGTCCTCTCCTCTCCCAGCCTGCCTCCCGTTCTTTTCAGCCTCACCTCTGTCTCCATGAAGATCTTGGACAGTACATTCACAGTGATTCTAATTCTTTTTACTTTTCTGTATCCCTGTAGTACTTGTAACCTGACTCACAACTTAGTTTTTTGTTTTTTGTTTTTTTGTTTTTAAAGATTTATTTATTTTTTAGAGGGGGCGGGCAGAGAGAATCCAAGCAGACTCCCTGCTGAGTGCGGAGCCCGCTGTGGGGCTTGATCTCATGAGCCTGAGATCATGACCTGAGCCAAAACCAAGAGTCAGATGCTTGACTGACTACACCAACCAGGCGCCCCAGAACTTAGTTTTTGATTACGTAGTAGTTTATGGTGTCCTCATCTAATTTCTTAATCTAGCAGAGACCTATCGCTCACCAATTTGTGTCCTTAACAGTGTCTAACAGCGTGCAGTCTTCTTGGCACTTAGTAAGTTATTTGTAATTTGAAAGAAAATCGTAACCTAGGTATAGATATCGCTGCCTTTACACTATAGATTTGTTTTTCAATTATTTTGTATAAATAACATTTTTGTATTTAAGTTATAGTTTAAATATACAGGAAAATATAATCTTTGACAAATTATAACAAATTATCTTGATTTCTTGTTTCGCTAAATCTAGCTTTTTTTTAACTGTCAATAAAGTGTATTTTTTTTAATAAAGTGAATATTATTTCTTTGAAATAACTTAAATACAGACATTATCTTGAGATCTTTGGTCTTTACAGTGTGTAGTTTGTATACTGAGCATCTGGTTTTGTGGAAAGATGTATTCTTCCTCTACAATTTGTAGACTTATATGTCAGCATTGAACACTTATGGTAATGGCTCTATCACCTCATGTGTGTCAGTACTAAGCATTTAACCTCTTTCATTTGATGCCTGTCCTCTTAATGATTATTGTAAAATTGTGTTCTTATGAGGTGTCATTTCCCGTTATATTCTTTTATTGGATGGTAATTATTACATAGAATGCCATCTTTTTTGTTTTGTAGAATCTATTTTTCTTTTTTTTTTGACTAATTATGTACTATACAGTGGCTAACTGAGCATAATAACAAAAAAGAAAAGAAAAGAAAAGAAAGCTATCCTTTATCAGATGGGTGGTTTGCAAGTATTTTGTCCCGTTCTGTAAGTTGCCTTTTCACCCTGTCGATGATTCCTTGGCCAAGTAGCTTTGTTTTTTAAATTAGTTTTAAGGTACTCTGATGATGTTTTCCCCGAAGAGAAAAAGGAATGACATTAAGAATTATAACTCGGTTATAACATCTATGGAGAGAATCTTGAATTTTTCCTCTGCTAATTTTATAACATAGTAAAGACTTAAGAATTTGTAAGTTTTGATATAAATAAAATTTGTATTAAACTATAGCCTTCTAAACACTGTTTTTGAATTCCCACTTGGGTTTCTATTTGCACTACTTATTCATTTGTTCAGTAAAGATTTGTGGAGGCACTGCTCTGTGTTGGATGTTGTTCCAGGTAACTGGGAAACAGCAGAGAACAAAAAAGACACATCCCTGCCTTCACAGAGCTTACATTTCTAGTGGGGCGCAGACTCACTCTTTATTCTCCTCAATTACCTAGATCAGGGATTGCCAAATTCTTTCTTAAAGGACCAGATAATAAATATTTTAGGCTTTGTGGGCCAGTAGGCAACATGGAGGATATTATGTAGGTATTTTATATAAGTATTTAATATTTAGCCATTTTAAAATGTCAAAACTGTTCTTAGCTTGGGGCCATACTAAAACAGGCAGTGGCTAAATTTTGGCCATAGAATGCCAACCCCTGATCTAGATAAAAAATTTGTATCCACATTTGCTGTTCCATTTATCTTCTTTCAAGTTCATCATCAAGAGCTGTTGACTTTTTTCTTCTTGTGAAATGTGTCATTTCTGCCCCTCCAATGCTCTGCCACTGCACTTGTCATCTAGGCTCTCCTGAGTGGACAGGACTTCGGCAGTCGTGCAGTCCAGCCCTGCAGCCTGGACCTGGATTTCTCAGCAAGGTGGTTTTTCCAGTCAAGCTTATCCCCTTTGATCTATAGGAAATGAATTTTCTCCTGTGATAATTCATTTTACCTCTGGACTACATTGACCTTTACAAGGAATTATGAAGTGCTTCCTTACAGCTTTCTCACACTGGTTAAATTTGTACCCGTTGGGATCTTCCAGAACTAATGTAATATAATCTCTTTCCCATGTGACATTTCTTTTCATTCCTGTTCTTTTAGCTGTCTCTTAGGGGCTTGTCTGTGTCCTGGATTGTTCTCCTCAGAATGAGCTTTGGTTTCTGTTGCTTTTATTTATTTTTTATTTTTAAAATTTATTTATTTTAGAGAGAGAGTGAGCACAGGGGAAGGGCAGAGGGGGAGAGAGAGAGAGTCTCAAGCAGATTCCTCACCGAGCAAGGAGCCTGATGCGGGGCTCCATGTCATGACCCGGAGATCACAACCTGAACCGAAACCAAGAGTCAGACGCTCAACCGACTGCACCACCCAGGCACCCCATGGTTTCTGTTACCTTTTTTTTTTTTGCTTCTCAAATGGGGGTTGGATTTTATTTGTACATTTTCTGAGGGTCCCGATCTGCTCATGGAATCCTTTATACAGGGGGAAGCTGTGGGACAGATTCCTAGAGACCCTTCGGGAGAACTCTATTGGGCGGGCGGGAGTGTTGCTCATGTTGCCTACTTCTTTCCCTTCTGCTTCATGTGTATTACAAAATAGTCATTGCATGCGATGGTGAGCCCAGCAATTAGCGAGAAGAAGCTCTGGAAGCCCACTTTGCCATCTCGGCACTGGTCCAGGTCCTTCATTATTTTGTCCACGGCCAGAGGGTCTTTTTGATTTTCCAAAAATCCAGGGAACTCCTTTTCCATGAGTACTCTCAGGTCCTCCTTTGTTAAGTAGCCTTTATCCCCAGCAAACTTGTGAAACGTGAACATCATGGTTTCCATGGCGTGTTCCATTTGAGATGGCATTTTGGTGAGGTCTGTTGAAACCTTGGCTCGAGGCGTGGCTGGGACGATTGGCTGGCTGGGATGCACGGCCAGTGAGCGGAGCGTGGTGGGCTGGAAGCCTTAGTACGGGGCAGGGGTGGGGGAGTGGGGGGGGACTCTGTTACTTTTAAACTGTGTCAGCTAGAGTAGAATATTTTTTTCAGGTGGTTCATTTGCAAAGAGAGTGGGACTCTTCATTAAGTATTTGTTGAGTGTACACTGTTTGCCCGGTACTGTTCTCAGTGCTGAAGGTGCAGCAGTGAAGAGATGGACAAAAATCTTTGCCCTCACAGAGTTTACATCTTGGCAGAGGGAGACAGACAATAAATACAGCATACACGCCAATTATATAGTTTGTAGAAGACAAGTGGTGTAGAGAAAAATTGAGCAGGGGAAATTGGGTGATAAAGGCAGACTCACCAAGAAGGTGACTTCTGAGTGAAAATTTCAAGGTGAGAGGGCTAACAAAATGAATATATGGGCTAGGAGTGTATTCAGTTAAGTGGACTAGCCGGTGCAAAGACCCTGAGGCAGGAGTGTGTCTGGCATATTTGAAGAAGAGCAGGGAGGCTGGTGTGGCTGAAATAGAGTGAACAAGGCAGAGGGGCAAGAGATGAGCCTAGAGAAGTAATGGGGTAATGGATGGGGTTGGCCCTGGCAGCCATGACAAGGACTTTGGCTTTAACTCAGAATGTGATGAGCAGGGGCACCTGGGTGGCTGAATTGGTTAAGCGTCTGCCTTTGGCTCAGGTTATGATCCCAGGGTCCTGGGATTGAGCCCCACGTTGGGCTCCCTGCTCAGCAGAGAGTCTGCTTCTCTCCCCCCCTGCTGCTCCCCCTGCTTGTGTGCCCTGGACTAAAACTCCTAAGTCTTTTTAAAGAAACTTAATATAGGGATGTCTGGTTGGCTCAGTTGGTAGAGCATTCAAGTCTTGATCTGAAGTCGTGAGTTCAAGCCCCACAATGGGCAAGGAGACCTACTTAAAGAAAAAAAAAATACATGCTAATATTCAAATACTTCTTAATTTATGCTTGCATAGTTGGTTTTTGGTAACAAGTTAAAGGTCTTTGTTTGTAGGAGATTTCATTTTGCTAGCTTTGATTTGTTGCTCCAAATAGTAACTTTGGGGAACCTCTAATATGTTTTATTCAAGATAATCACTTCTCTGTCTGCTTCGTGTAAATCCACACGTTCTGCGAGCATGCTTTCTGTGTCTTCCAAAACCTTGATGGATTATTGAACAAGACAGAAACTACAGCAAACCTCTAAAACCTCTCTTTAGGTTGATGGTATCTTTATAATTTCATTCTTTAGTCAGAATTGGTTATATTCCACCAAACTTGAGATCTAGGCTAAGTCTCTGTTATATCCATAAAGATGACATGAGATGTCATTAGTTACCTTTGCTAAGATTATGTACAAAAAGCTACACCACATCTATTAGAATTCTCTGATCTACCAGTATAGAACCTCCCATGTCGATGGGGGGAGAGAGAGAGAGGTGCATATCTGATAAAGTTATTCATAATGTACTCCTCTTAGTGCTCAGTGCTTCCTTTAAAGATTAACAATATACTGCAAAGGCTTTCATTTTTTCATTGCTCACCAATTCTATTTTTATGGTCATCTGAGACTCTTGCCTAGGACCAACAGTTATCTTGGCCAGGCTGGACCTTGTTTTCTATGCCCATTTTGCAGATTACAGTCTTCTGACCTCTCTCCTGTTTTCTAAGATCCTGGGATCCCCAAATGTCAGGATCAAGTTGCTGATTTCATTTGTCCCCCTCACTTTAGAACTCTCTCCCAGTTAGGCTGTGTCATCCCCCCTCTCCATCTCTAACTTAATCTGCTCTATTCAGCCTTACCTGATGAATTTTAGGAATTCACTGTGACCCTTGGGGAACCCTAGGATCTACAGTGGCTCCCTGCTGTTAATCTATATGCCATTGGCCTAGCTGTCAAGGGCCCCCTTCTGGTTACCCTTCTTGTACCTACCACTCCCAAATGTTTTACTCTAGCCAAACAGGTTTTGTTTTTTTTTTTAATATGTTGATGTTTGCTCCAACATCTGTGATTCTGTCAGTCATTTTCATGTTTCTGCTGCCTGTATGAATCTCTCCTTCAGTACTGCAAAATTTAACATGTAGTTGTACACTGGTATTACATCATTCCCCTTTTGTTGGATGGGTTAAATTTGTCTCCCCCAACTACCTGTTTTTGAGACTGTATTATACTGCTATAACAGCTCTCAAAATGCTTTGTAGTGTTTTGGCAGATATCATAGGTAAGTATTCATTAAAAACATGCTTTTTTATTGTATTCTTTATTGTAGTTGAAGATGCCCAGAGTGGAATGTTTAAAGGAAACAGCAAACAGACAGTTTGGAGGGGCTATTTGGTATGTTATTTTAAATTAATTATATCTATGCAGTAGACTAGAATAAAAGTGTAAGTAATAAAGCTGTTTTACCTTGAGAGGCTTTTTTTTTTTTTTTTAATGTTATGTTAGTCACCATACAGTACATCATTAGTTTTTGATGTGGTGATCCACAATTCATTGTTTTTGTGTAACACCCAGTGCTCCATGCAGTACGTGCCCTCCTTAATACCCATCACCGGTTGAGAGGCTTTTTAATGTATACTTTTTCACTAAGCCTAGCTTACAAGTATTAATGAATGCTGATTTAAGTAATCTTAACATTCTGATTTTGAAGCTGTAAGTTTTCACCAGCCTTATGATGTGAAAAGTGAGTTGTGTTTTTCCCTCTTTTATTTTAGACCACAGATAAAGAAGTCCCTGGGTTAGTGCTAATGCAAGATCTGGCTTTCCTGAGTGGATTTCCACTGACATTCAAGGAAACAAATCAACTAAAAACAAAATTGCCAGAAAATCTTTCTTCTAAAATAAAACTGGTAAGAGCATAGGAAACAGAGCAATGAGTATAGCACATTTTCATTTAATGCATGACTCTTGTGGTCCATTTCATTATAGTAGAGCAGGCTCAATCCCAGGACCCTGGGATCATAACCTGAGCCAAAGGCAGACGCTTAACCGATTCAGCCACCCAGGTGCCCCTGCTCATCCCATTCCGCGGGAAGCCTGATGTGGGGTTCGATCCCAGGACCCTGGGATCATGACCTGAGCTGAAAGCAGATGCTTAACGACTGAGCCCCTTACTCTTTATTTAGGCAAAAATTTAAGAGTCTTATTTGGTTTGCTGGTTTCCCAGACAGAAACATGATTCATTTGTTTAACAAATGAGCTCCTACTATGTGTCAGGTGCTTTTATACCTGCTGAGAATATAGCAGTGGACAAAACAGACAAAAGCCCTGAATGGAACTTACAGTGGAAGGAAGCGGAAGCACAGGAGGGAGTGGGGGAAGTCATATATGTATATAGTAAGTAAACACTTGGACTGCAATCTGCCTATTTATTAAGAGCCTTCACTCATAAAGGGAGTGTGCTTCAGATATTTGGAATGGTTGATAATGTGAAACCTTTATTCATAAATGGCTAATTGAGCCACTAAGGTATTTCGGGATTTATACCTATTAACTCTTCACGTTTTGATGCCATTTGTTAGAGTTGACTTTGGAGGCTGCCCTGAGACATGCCTTTTCCTTAACATTTATTGTTTTCAGACCCACTTGCCCTATTGTATGGGTGTTCTTTCCTTTTTTTTTTTTTTTTAAAGATTTTATTTATTTGAGAGAGAGAGAATGAGAGATAGCACGAGAGGGAAGAGGGTCAGAGGGAGAAGCAGACTCCCTGCTGAGCAGGGAGCCCGATGTTGGACTCGATCCCGGGACTCCAGGATCATGACCTGAGCCGAAGGCAGTTGCTTAATCAACTGAGCCACCCAGGCACCCGAGTTCTTTCCTTTTGACCTTCTGTCAAGATACCTGTGGTTCTGTCAAACATTCCAGGTTGTAAAACGTGAATACTTTTCTCTTAGAACAGAAGGCATAAAGTTCTGGGCTCAGAATTTTTTAGGGTCTGGTTTTCTTGATTTTACAAGGAAATGTTCTTTAAATTCTGCCACAGTGTTCAGGTTCCTGACTCTTACTTCCTTCTGTTGGTGTCATTTAACAATTTGGAGGTGAGAGGATGGAGATGGGGAGGCAGTGATGGGGAAGAGCAGTGTTTGTGGAGTTCTTATTTAGTTGCTGTCTTGACCGTGTTTTTTAATACCCTGCCCCACCCCCAACATTCCCTTTAACTTGTTTCTTTCCATAAATGTTTCACTGTTTTAAGATATACTGTGTGACCATTGTAAGTGTGATGGTAATATGAATGACTTTTTTTTCATATTTTCCTTAAGTTTTTTTTATGGTACTTGGAAATCTAGTAGTTTACAGCTAGATTGGGGTTGAATTATTTCTTATCTTCAGTTATTTAAAAATAGATATTGTATTCCTCCTTCCTCTAAGGAAGAGGAATTGAAAAAATTTGACATATAACACTGTAATTTTAAGGTGTACAACATGCTACTTTAAATACATTTATGTATTGTAATATGATTGCCATTGTAGCAATATTTATCACATTACAAAATTATAGTACAGTATTATCTATATTCATTATACTATGCATTAGATCTTCTGGCTTACTTAGTACTCATTACAAAGTTTGTGTTTTGAAAATGTCAGTCTTTTTTTTTTTTTTTTTAAAGATTTTATTTATTTGACAGAGAGAGAGATAACGAGAGCAGGAACACAAGCAGGGGGAGAGGGAGAGGGAGAAGAAGGCTTCCCGCCGAGCAGGGAGCCCGGTGCAGGGCTCGATCCCAGGACCCCGGGACCATGACCTGGGCTGAAGGCAGACGCTTAACGACTGAGCCACCCAGGCACCCTAAAATGTCAGTCTTATTCCCCAAACCCTGTCCCCATGGTAAATACCATTTTACTTTATGTTTTTTATGATTTTGACTTTTTTGGATTCCACATATAAGTGATATACAGTATTTGTCTTTCTGTGTCTGACTTTTCTCAGTGTGATGTGCTAAGCATAAGATCCAACTATGTTGTAGCAAATGATAGGATGTCCTTTCTCATGGCTGAATACTATTCCATTGTGTATATATACTACATCCTTTTTATCTGTTTATCTATTGATGGGCATTTAGGTTGTTACCATATCTTGGCTATTGGGAATAATGCTGTAGTAAACATGGGAGTGCAGATATTGCTTCAAAATCCTGTTTTCATTTCCTTTGGGTATATACCCAGAAGTGGAGTTGCTGGATTGTATGGTAGATTTATTTGTAATTTTTTGAGGAGACTCCATATTGTTTCCTATAGTGGTTGGACCAATTTATATCCCCACCAATATTGTACAAGGGTTCCGTTTTCTCCACAGCCAATGTTTATTTAGCTTCTTGGCTTCCAAGCTATCGGTTCTAGAATTATGGACATGTGTGTCTGTACTTTGTTACCTGAAATTCCTTATGCAGAAAATTTCTTTTTAAGATTTTTGTTTATTTATTTGTCAGAGAGCACACTCACAAGCAGGGGGAGCAGCAGAGGGAGAAGGAGAAGCAGACTCCCCGCTGAGCAAGGAGCTTAATGCGGGACTCGATCCCAGGGCCCGGGGATCATGACCCGAGCCGAAGGCAGCCGCTTAAGCGACTGAGCCACCCAGGTGTCCCAAGAATGACATTCTTGAATCTGTTTATATGATTCCAACTATAATATGTTTTTAAAGGAAAGAAGGTTCATGACACATCTCCATTCTCCAGTCAGGTTTGACTGCTCTTTGCCTGCTGCAGCTGCTCACCGGTGCTGATTGCTTTTGGTGTGTCTGTTGGTGGATGGGTGTGTGCTGCTGAAGAATGCCAATCCAAGTAGTGATTGACCCTTCAGCAAACTATTTTTGGGTGGTATGGAGTGTGGTGTATGCAGGTAGAGGTAGGGTGGGGTAATAACTTGATTTGGACAAGTAGTACCAACAGGCTCTGTGCACGATGGTACCCCCTTCTACCGTTATTCACCCGGCTGGAGATTTATTTGGATTCCCAGGCTTGTTTTTGTGGAGGCAAGCACCTCCTCAGAGGGTCAAGCTAATTATCCATAACTTTCATTGCAGGTCGTTTTCATGATGCCAACACCTACAATCAACTTCAGGGATTAGAACTTCTGGTTTTTGGAGGTTAGAGAGAAAAAGAGAAAGGGGAAGATAAGGGGAGTGTATCAGCATTTGAAGCTAATTCTTCAAGTGACTTTCTGTAGGTTCCTCTTCCTGGTTTTATTATGAATACCTTGAGAATGAAGTTTCCTGTCACCAGATTCCCAGTCCATTTAGAGTGTGAGCTTTTAGTAAATGTCTGTTGTGTGCCAGGGACTGGGCTAAGGATCACTGAGTGAATAAAAAGCATTTAAATAATTTGGGGGCATGATCACTTCCAAGTAAGTGTTTATACAAAGTGTTGTAAGAACACCTGGGCTTTAGGTATACTGGCACAAGGAAGGCTTTGCAGAATAGAAGGCATTTTAGCTGGGCCCTGAACACAGCAGCCATTTTCCCAGCAGAGAAGGGAGTGGGAAAGACCATTCCAACAAGAGGGAACAGCCTGAGCAAAGGGCTGGAGGCTTGCAAGTTTGTGGTTGCCAGAAAACCAAGGCAGCTGTTCCTGGAAGACAGCAACCAGGCAGGGATTTTGCTGGTGCTGAGATTGGGAAAAGAGATTGAGGCCAGATTGAGAAAGATCTGGTAAGGAGCCTGGACTTTATCCCGGAGGCAGGAGGCATCCTTAGGAGGAGCACTTGATCTGTTTCTAAGGAACATAGTAGCTGAAGGTATGGTGGTAGAGATTAAAAGATGAGGCTGGGCAGAAAACCAATTCAGCCACTGCAGCCGTAGCCCAGCAAGATGTTCAGGTTCAACAACTGTCTTGGCAGCAGTGCCAGTAATGAGAATGGTTCCAGAAACATCCACGAGAAATACTCAGCATGACCCTGTGACTTATTAGCTGTTGGGGAGAGGGAAGGAAAAATGAAAGGGGGAAGTGGGTGTTACTAGTGAAGATGGAAGTGATGGCTTAAACCACATTCGGAACCTCAGGAGAAGCAAGTTTTTTGGGAAGGAAACTCAGAGCTCAGTTCGGGGTGTGTTGTTAGAAGTGCTTTGTGGCATGTGGGAGGAAAGGGTTATTAGACACTGGACATCAGAACCTCAATGGGCTGGACTGTTTTGCCCTCCCAGGGTCCTCCAGAAGGCCTTGGCCTAGGCCTGTGGCCTCCGAGCCAGCCAGTGCTCAGGTCTGCCCTGGAGACCCTACCCGGGTATGAGCAACCCAGGACAGATACTGCCTGTTCACCTGTGTACCCCTAGTGATTACCGCAGGCTTGGTACTTAGGGGGCCACTCAAGAAATGCTTATGGAAGGCATGAGCAAGAAGAAAGGCTGTGACTGAACACACCGCCATGTACCATGTCCTGGAATATAAAGGCAATGTTTGAACAGTGTGATTATTCCAAGAAGTCATTTTGGTTTTTGGTACCATGGTCATATATATACTACAACTTTGCATTTATCATTCTGTTTAGAGCAAAACTGGAATCCCCTCACCCCCAGGAAGGGAAGTGGGGGTTGAAAATATTTTCATTTGCAAAATGTTAAAATTTGAATTCATAAAACTTCTGTGGACTATAGTCTTACAAATCAAACAGTCTTCTATTGAAAGCTTTCTAGTTTGACCTGATTAATAACCCCTTAATTTATCTGTAGAATTGTGTGTGATGGACACAGAATTCACCTTTTGGGAGATCACATTATCCATTGGTCTTTATTTTTAGCTCATTCTAAATCATTCTGTGTTTTCATTCATAGTGGGGTTTTCATATGGTTTTTGATTTTTGTTTTTCTTTACTTCTTTAACATATGTTAGAGCACGTGGAAAAATCTTCCCAAAGCTCTCAGGTATGTTCTCACATTTAGTTTAATTCAATACTACTGGTTGCTAAGTGGGTATGCAAAAGAAAGAGAAGACATGGGCTTGTCCTCAAGCTACCTAGAATTACGTTTTAGAGGCAGTATGTGTGCATATGAAGTATTCAAGTAGCAAAGTAAGATAGTATGAGCTCTCAAGGAGAGTAGTACAGACCTCCAAGTTGGCATTTAGAGGCAGGAAAGGTCTGTGTGGATCAGAGACATGGGGGAAGTTTCCAAAGAGAAGGAAGCTGCACAGATCCTTGAAGGCTGACTAGGGTGTTTGCTCCGGCAGGAAGGACAGTGCTGGTGGGATGGGAACAGCATACTGTCCTACCTGAACTTTGTCACCTCAAACCTCTGTTCAGGGCAAATTCAAGGTAACAATAAATTGTAGTAATAACTGTATTAATGCCCCTTTTATTGGCTTCCCTGAAACTATCTTATGCACCTCCTCTTTTAAAGTATGGTACCCTTTGTTTTGGTTTTATTTCTAAAATAGACACTTCCGTAGATTAAAGCAACTCTGGAATTGATTTAAGTTTTATAAAACTTTTTTGAGTTGTCAGATTACTGGAATGATTTGTTTTCCAGTTATATTAGTGGGCATGTTTTTTCCCTAACCTTATGCTACCATGTATAGGTGTATCAATCCGTTATACTAGATAATGCTATAGTAACAAATACTCAGAAATCTCTGGATTAAAAGTAACAGACCTTTATTTCTCAGTCATGTTATCTGTTTTTTGTGGGCCTGCAGTGGGTGGGTGTAGAAGCTGTTCTCTCTTTGAGAAACTTAAAATTTAAAGAATTTAGATAAACTGAACAGCTGCCCTCATGAGCTCCAACTCCCTCTCCGAGCCCTTGTTGAACATCTCAGACCCACTCTCCTCTTCGCGCCCTGATTCCCCATCCTCCCCATCTCCGCCATCCACCCAAGAGGCCTCTCCCGCTGGTGATGTGGCTGCAGGATCCCCCTTGATGCCAGAGTTGGGCTCCCCACAAAAACCTGGGAAGTCCCTGCCACCTCCAGCCGCACTGGGCCTGCCCCCGCCCCAGGAATTTGGCCAGGGGAACCCATTTATGCTCTTTCTCTGCCTTGCCATCCTGCTGGAGCACTGTGACCACATCATGTGCAACAGGCTAGATTACAACGTGCTGGCCATGCACTTTGACCACTTTGTGTGAAAACACCACCTGGGGCCCGTCCTTCGCTGGGCCAAGGCTCTCTTCGCTGATTACCTGCAGTCAGAGCTGTGGGACTCAGAGGAGGGGGCCAAGGCCACAGCCCTATCTTGATCAGGCTCCTTCTAGCCCACCAGATCTCTGTTCTTTACCAGGAGGGACTAATGTGAGACCCCAGCTCCCTGCCTGCCAGCCCTAGACCTGCTGGAGTGCAGGGCCCTTTCTCCCCCGGTCTGAGTATGGGGCTCTGCCTTGACACTGCCCCATGGAGGCCATGGCCTCCTTTCTCAGTTTATGTTGGGTTTTTAACAACTGTACTTTGCACACATGAAGGTCACTGTGGTCTGTGTAAAAAAGTAGAAAAAAAAATTTAGATAAACTTATAATTTCATGTAAGAAGCTAATGTGGAAGCAGCTGCCCAAGCTAATCCAGCCTTCAGCACTTACTACACCCGCTTTTCCTTATCACCTCCTGGCTCTCTTTCTGCAGAAGTAAGGTGTCCAGGATTAGGGTGCCACCTAGTGGCTAGCAGAATATACTTCTCCCCACCCTTTTCACCACTCACAACTTGGTTGATTATGGTGGCAGAAAAGCTTTTTCAACATACAAATATTCCTTTAAGCTCTTTGCTTTTCATTTCTCTAGTCAGGAAAATGTCTATGAAATTTCAAAATAGGTTTCCAGACGAAAAGCAGTTTGTATAGAAGAGATTAAGATAAGGGTATTTGCCCAATAAAATTTAGAGTATTGAAGTACTACATTTATAAAAATTTAGTGATTTTTATATTTCAGGGAGCCCTCAGAGGTGCTGTGGGAGCCACTATGGGGGGGAGGGATGGAGCAGGGGAGGCTGCGGCGGGCAGTGAGCCTCAGTAAATAGCCAGATAGAAGAATATCCACCCTGTCTCCCACCTGTCCCCCAACATACTAAGGCAGGGTGACAGCAGGAGTGAGAGCTGACCTTCGGTGAGTGCTCAGTATATGCCAGGTGCTGTCAAGATGAAAGAAAGTGGTCAGGAAGGCAGTACACACCTGTGCATGTGTGCACCCATACACTCACATGCAGTTTGTGGTAAGAAGGGGAAAAATATAAATGAAATTCTAACTTGAATCTCTAGTTTTTGACATAAACCCAGGAAAACTTTGAAAGATGAGGTAAATTAGGTAGCATATATAAGAGCTCAGAATGAGCCCAAAATAATTTGCATTTGCTCTGCTTTATAAATTAAGAAACTGGCCCTGTTAGGAGAGTCAATTCAGCAGAAGGGGTTCACTGTCCTAGATTAATAGATTTCAATCCTCTCCCCCACCTTTTTAAGCTATGAAAGACTCTTTTTATAGGAAATTGAATGATACAGAGTTAGAACATGAAATGGATCTCGTAGTGTGGTGGGAAAGCCTGTTTGTAAAACATACTGATGTTTGTGATCATCTTAGACTGATGATTTCTTTGAAAGCTTTGCCCCAAAAGGTGCTTTTCCTAATGGAAACTGTTCAAGCAGCCCTGTCAAAGACACTCCTCTTAGGTGTGGGGCACAAAAGCTGTTTGAAGACCCTGCTAGCAGGCTTGCTCTCTACCAATCCCAGCAATGTTACATTGCAGGGTTTCCCCCAGTATAAGGAGATTGGTAATATTCTAGAAAAAAGGTCACAATTGGTTACCAGTTGTGTTTTGTTTGAAAGCAGGACAATCAAAAACATTTGAGACAGCACTGAAAATGGGGAGATTTCATAGAACACTTGGGGATTCTGGCCTCTTAGGAGATCTTGCTGCAGTTGTTGATATTGAGTAGTGGCTGCGGCTTTTGGATGGGGCCTGAAATGTCCCATTTACCACAACTCCACCACTCCCTCTGTTTTACATACCTGGGTTCTTCCATTCATTTGGGAAGTGTGTCTGGCCTGTTTACATCTCCTTTTGGTGATCATAGGCTTACTAGTTGATAATCTATATAGAGAGCTAGAATTAATCTTTAAACATACATAATACAGATTTTATTATGTTATGTTAATCACCATACATTATATCATTAGTTTTTGATGTAGTGTTCCATCATTCATTGTTTGCGTATAACACCCAGTGCTCCATTCAATACATGCCCTCCTTAATACCCGTCACCAGGCCAACCCATCCTCCCACCCCTCTCCCCTCTAGAGCCCTCAGTTTGTTTTTCAGAGTCCATCATCTCTCATGGTTCACATACATAATATAGATTTAAGTATGTACTATATATTATATACATTTAAAAGTTAAAGATCAAACTGGGAATTTAGAGATGTCTCTTCTTTAGAGGCTCAGTTTTTCTACATGTAACCCTTTTGTTATTTTATAGTTACAGTTATATTCAGAGGCCAGTGTAGCACTTCTAAAACTGAATAACCCCAAAGATTTCCAAGAACTGAACAAGCAGACAAAGAAGAACATGACCATTGATGGAAAAGAACTGACTATAAGTCCTGCATATTTATTATGGGACCTGAGTGCCATTAGCCAGGTAAGGGATGCAGAGATTCTTTCTAAACCCTGATCAAGGGTTTAAATTGTTAAGGATTTATTTATAGGTCATTATATTAGAAGAAGGAAGAAGACTTACAGAGAGATGAGTTGATTGCAACTTCTCTAATTTTCCAGTCATTGCCACTGGTTAATATTAACTGAAGTGACCTAGAATCAGATCCAAGAACCTTCTCTTTTAAAAAGTGCAAAAGAAATGTTGGGCATTTATGTTTTAAATATGCCATGTTTTGCGTTTTTTGTAATGTTCAAATGTAGGACTCGGTCTGCCAGAGCACCCTGAAAGAATATTGGGCAGAGGGGACAGCCAGGAGGAAAGGTGTGACTTAAGTGGTGTTTTACATTTTCATGTGTGAAATGTTCTTCTCAGTCTAAGCAGGATGAAGATGTTTCTGCCAGCCGTTTTGAAGATAATGAAGAACTGAGATATTCACTGCGATCCATTGAGAGGCATGCTCCTTGGGTTCGGAATATTTTCATTGTTACCAATGGGCAGATTCCATCTTGGCTGAACCTTGATAACCCTCGAGTGACAATAGTCACACACCAGGTCCATGACTTTCCATATATCACAAGGCTTTGGTTTCCTTTTCTGTCCTTCACCTATCCCTCATTTCATTCCCCTTTACCTCACCCTCCCCACCTCCATCCCCTTTGATTCTTCTACTCATCTCCCTTCCTTCCTTCCAAAACTGAAAACAAAATGAAATAATTCTCATCCACCCTCTTTCTCTCTTGCCTTTGTTGTTGTTTTCTTAAAAGGATGTTTTTCGAAATTTGAGCCACTTGCCTACCTTTAGTTCACCTGCTATTGAAAGTCACATTCATCGCATTGAAGGGCTGTCCCAGAAGTTTATTTATCTGAACGACGATGTCATGTTTGGGAAGGATGTCTGGCCAGATGATTTTTATAGTCACTCCAAAGGTCAGAAGGTGAGTGCCTAAGAGGAAGGGATGCCTAGCTTAGAAGTCACTTAGGAGTTATAAACAGATCAGGAAAACAGTATACATACTACTGTATATACAGTTTGGGTCAAATAAGCATTTTTTGAGTGCTGAGCTCAGGAGAGTTAACAATTTAGGAGGACAAAAACTGCTCCTTAGTAGTTATTTGCTTCCCTACATTGTCAGACACCCAGAACCCACCTTCTATATTTTCTACTATGACAATAGCAAAGAAAGCAAAACCACTATGAAATACAAAATCATGGTTAGAACATCGGCGCAATGGCCAAGATAAAAAGTGAGCTCAATTTTCTGCTTACAGACATGGATGAAATTTTATGTAAGGCAGCAGTCTCATCGTGGCTTTGAGAGGCATGATGGAGAGTGGTTATGAGCACAGACCTAGGAGCTAACAGTTGAGGATGGTTCTGGGCAATGATTTGATGTGTGTTTCCTGTTTGCATACTGAGGAAACTAGGAGTACTCCTGTGGCCCTGTTAGAAGGATTCAGTGAAAAGTTGGAGAATTACCACCATAAACTTCTAAGTTACAGAAGCCTGCAACTGGAAATGCAAATTGTACAAAGCTACTTTTCCTTTTGCTGTTTATGCCATCCCAGTGTGCTCACTCTCTCCTTCCCCTGTTCAGTTGCCTCCTCTGTGTTTGTAGGGCTGCCAAGGTGAGCTGTGGCTTGGCAGGGGAGACACACAAAATCAGTAACTAGGGATAGTGATTTCTGTGCTGGCAGGTGTGCCCTCGGTGGGAAGGCGTGGGGGCCCAGGAGGTTGAAATCAGACCGGGCTAGAGAAGAATTCCCATCTGAATTGAAGTGAACTTTGAAGAACAAGTAAGAGTTAACTAGATAAAGAAAGACATTCCACATAGATGGAGCATGCAGAGGCATGGAGTGTATTTTTTTTTAATTAATTAAAAAAGTTAACAATGTACCATGTCACTCATTTTGGAAAGCAGGTGAGTCCACAACTTAGAACACTGTGCTAATAATTTATCACAGGACCTTATGCACAGAGATAAGGATATTGAAGCTGCTTTTCTCAGCCATGAGACAAGATTATAGGTAAATACATCCAGGAATTAATGACAGTTGTCACAGAAAAGCAGTGAATGTGTAGTATACTTCCTACCTGCTCTGGCACGCTTTTGTACTTAAGTCTGACGTGTTGCTATTTTATTTCAAAATAGATTAATCCATGAGTTGAGTTCTTGTCTGAGTAATGAAAAAGAGTAAATGTGCTTCGTAAGAATCATCGACAGAGCAGGAATCTAAACTACTGTAGCAAACAATGTAAAATATGCCATGTGGATGCAGTCAGCCAGCCCAGGGAGAATTGTAACCTTTATTGGAGGCTCAGTTTCTTTTTTTTTAAAGGAATCCTAATTTGAGATTAAAAATTGTCCATTTTATTTTCCTTCTGGCTCTGTCATAGGTTTACTTGACATGGCCTGTGCCAAATTGTGCTGAGGGCTGCCCAGGTTCCTGGATTAAAGATGGCTACTGTGACAAAGCTTGTAATAATTCAGCCTGTGATTGGGATGGCGGTGACTGCTCTGGTAAGGATGTGCTCACATGTAATTTATTTATGTTTATGGACTTTTTTTCCATTCTTAATCATCACTGAATAAGTACAGTGACTTAAACATTCCTCATGTATGAAAACAATACATACAGTAATCCATAGATTCTGGAGGTAATGACTGTTGTCCCCATGTGGCTCAGTTTTTTCATATTCTCCCTTGTTGAGGGCATATTCCCAGGCTGACCCTGCACTTGAAAATACCTTTTATTATTTAAAATATGAAAATCAGGAATATCTTTAATTATGTAAACTCAAGAGCAAGAATCACTCTAACTGGTTCTTCAAGGAGCTCACGGCTGGTGGCTTTCAGCAGCAGCTTGCTGTCAGTGGGCAAAGAGAAATAAAGATCTTATCTCTTCAGCATATCCGCTCTCTTTCTTACATCTCTATCTGCATTTGTTGATAATAGCATGTTTTTACATTTATTGATTGCCTTTCAGTTTATAAAGCATTTAAATTTATAAAGCATTATCCATTATCCACTTGAATTTCTTAGTCACCTAAGGAGGACAGAGTATGTGCACAGATATTATCATTCACGTATTCCATATGCAGAAGCAGATTTGAAAAAGTGCTGAGTATTAGAAGAAACAAAAGTTATGTTCTGTCTGATGTACTTTTGAAAAATGTAAGCAGCCGCAGTGAGAGAACACACACATGCCAAGATCCGTGCAGTCCAGAGACCTGTCCAGAGACATCAGCCCCTAATAGGACATTAGCATTTGATGATGAGGTTGGCACCCCATATTAGAACATGTTTTGGCAGTTCTGACAGGCTGCTCCACACACACCTCTACATGCCCCTGTGGGCAAGTTTGTACTTCAGGGTTGCACAGCTAGTAAGTGCCAAGGCCTGGTCATCTCAGTCCTCTGTCAAGTGATGCTCCCTTTTTAGTTTGTTTTCTTCTTAAGGTACATGAAATTTTCTGGTAAACAATGGGGTGAACCTTTTCTGACCAAAATGCTGGCATCAATCTAGATAGCATTACTGAGAAAAAAGGAACTGTCCTTTTTCCACGATGATAAGCACAGCAAGATTCTGTCTTCCTCCTCCCTCTACAGGTAACAGTGGTGGGAGTCGCTATGCTGCAGGAGGCGGAGGTACCGGCAGTATTGGAATTGGACAGCCCTGGCAGTTTGGTGGAGGACTAAATAGTGTCTCTTACTGTAATCAAGGATGTGCGAATTCCTGGCTTGCTGATAAGTTCTGTGACCAAGCTTGCAATGTCTTGTCCTGTGGGTTTGATGCTGGCGACTGTGGGCAAGGTATATTCATCACGTAAAAAGATATTTAGAAAATAAGGGGATCAAAGTCCTTGATAAGTAGAGGGAGATTTGTATTTTTGTTATTAAAGTAATTAACTTCTATGAATCCCTTGCCCATCTTTGCATCTAAACTAGCTGTAAGTGAAAAGAGAGGACACAGATCTTTAAAAAACAGTAGACACTAGAGCTGCATCTTTTCGTGTTATTCCAGTCTGACTTACTTTGTACTAGGTGGATATACCTTCGTTGAAAATATATGGCAAAGGTTTAATTTAGAAACAATAAAAGGAGACCAGTGATACACTAAGTAAGAATGGTTTAAATGCTAGATCTTGTTGATCGCTCATCTCTGGAGGTCATTTTGGCAGATGGTTGTATTTTTTCAAATGGACACAAAGATGAGAGTTGATCAATGGAATTTGCCATGTCTCTGTAGTGAGTGAGAGTCAGCATTCCATGCTGATAATAGTGATTGCTTCAGATAATAAAATGAGCTCCATACCAGCAGCTCTTATATTAGAATGTTTTATTCCTAAGTCAATTTAAAGTCATTCTTAGAAAGTGAAAACTCAAACCCTAAGAATTAAAGGAAAAGGAGGGGAAAATGCCTCATTTTTAAAGTCATGTTTGTGTTTTTTCCTCTAGATCATTTTCATGAATTGTATAAAGTAACTCTTCTCCCAAACCAGACTCACTATGTTATTCCAAAAGGTGAATGCCTGCCTTATTTCAGCTTTGCAGAAATAGCCAAAAGAGGAATCGAAGGCACCTATAGTGACAATCCAATAATTCGACATGCCTCTATTGCCAATAAGTGGAAAACCATCCACCTCATAATGCACAGTGGAATGAATGCAACCACAATACATTTTAATCTCACATTTCAAAATACAAACGACGAAGACTTCAAAATCCAGATAACAGTAGAGGTCGACACAAGAGAGGAACCCAAAGTGAATTCTACGACCCAGAAGTCTTACCAAAATTTGGTTAGCCCCACAACACTTCTTCCAGAGGCGGAAATACTGTTTGAGGATATTCCTGAAGAAAAACGCTTTCCAAAGTTCAAGAGACATGATATTAACACAACAGGAAGATTCCAAGTGGAGGTGAAAATTCCCCTGGTAAATATTTCACTCCTTCCCAAAGAGGCCCAACTGAGTCTCAGTAACTTGGATTTGCAACTAGAACGTGGAGACATCACTGTGAAAGGATACAACCTGTCCAAGTCAGCCTTGCTGAGATCATTTCTGAGTAACTTACCAGATACTGAAGTAAAAACAAATCAAGCTGTAATAACAGATGAAAGAAATGACAGTGTAGAGGCCCCACTGGAAAAACAGGTTCACAAAAGCATCTTGCCGAATAGCTTGGGAACATCTGAAAGATTGCAGAGGTCGACTTTTCCAGCAGTGACAATGAAAGTGAATGGTCACTACCAGAGTCAGAATCCACCCCCGGACTTAGAAATCGAAGAAAAATTTAAATCTGAAATTCTGACCCAAAAAGTAAGAGGTGGAAGCGTGTCAATAGAAAAACTCTCATCTCGGATTGTTCCACTGGAAAAGCAGATTACAAAAGAAAAGAAAATCACAGGGAAAGAACAAGAGAAAAACAGAATGGAGGAAAATGCAAAGAACTACATAGATAATAATGAAGTACTACCTGGAAGAAAACTGCAGCATTATACAGACAGTTACCTGGGTTTTTTGCCATGGGAGAAAAAGAAGTATTTCCAAGATCTTCTTGATGTAAGTTACATCCAGCTTTATTCTTTCCCATGCTCCGGGAAAATAAATAACCTTATAAGTAAGTGATAATTATATAATAATAGGTACCATTTATTCAGGATTTTCTGTGTCAATCATTAAACTAAATGCTTTTTCTTACATGGTTTATTGCCCTAATACCCCTAACAATAAAAATACCTTATAAGGTTATCTACTATCATGATCCCCATGTCACAGTTTAGGAAACAGCCTTAGTGTGAATAAGTAAGGGAGTTAGACAGGGGCATGCCCTGAGTAAGTAATAGAACAGGGATGGTATCTTATCTTCACTTGGCATTTTGGGATTTCAAAAAATGCTTTTGCATATGCTGTGTGAGTCAGATCTGATTATTTTTCCAATTTTACTGATGAAAAAAACCCCAAGGTGCAAATAAAGTAATTAGCTTCCAGTGTGAGCCAAGCCTCAGGGTTCAAGTGCTCACTCACCCTCCTGTACCATGGTCTCCATGGTGCCATGGTGTCATCTGTACATCTGCCAAGTGCTATCACTGTGTTCACTGCAGGGAGCACAAGACTATTAGAACACAGCTTTTGGAAACTCAAAGGGCAAGCTGGGAGGACGGATTTGTGGGTAAATAATTGTAGCAACGTGATAGGTGTCTCCTGAGGTATGAGCACAGAGTCCAAAAGGAAAATTTCTTAACTTTGCCTAGGGGTACTGGGGAAGGCATCCATGAAGAAGTATCCTGTGAGCTGACCTTTGAAGGGTTTGTAGGAGTTGACAGACCAAGAAAAACCCTGTGGTTGAGGCTGGATCATGAACAGAGTGCAGCCATGAGTAGGTGTCAGGCTGGGAAAGAAGAGGTTGATGAGGGAAACTTACTGATCACATTGTCTTCGGAAAGTATTTTATCCCTGATACAGTAGTCATTTACTAATTGTTGAGTGAGGGATTGCAAAGTTCTTGCCTGTGATGATTTCCTCTCTTCCCCCTTTCATTACTTACTTTAAATTACAAAAGTGTTATAGATTAGTGGCAAAAATTGCAAGCAATCCAAAAAATACACAATAAAAAAGGAAAGATCTCCCTCCTTCCTTCCTTCATCTTCCTACTTGAAATAATCACTATGAATATAGTTTGGTGGGTATTTTTCCAGTATTTTTATATAGATATGCAAACATACAAACTATATAAATATGTGTTTTGCAAGAGGTAAGTTGCACTATACATACTGCTCTGTGGTTGCCCCTTGATCTAGTAGTATGTAAGCAAACCCATGCTAGTGTTACTGTGTTTTTTAAGAGCTGTGTTTGTTTTGCAATTACAGATAGTGTTGCAATAAATATTCCTGTACATATAGCTTACTCTTGAGAAGTTTTTACTTCTGTAGGTAGAATTGCTAGGTTAAAGTTAAATTTAACTGTGTCCTAGAATGCCATACCACTTCATACTTACACAGTGTAGAAGAGTGCTTGTTTCTCCACAGGCTAACCAACAATAGTATCAATCTGTATTTTTTCACCAGATTGAGAAGCAAAAATAATTCATCTTTGTAAAGTGTGTTCATATATTCTGCTAATATTCTTTGCCCGTTCACTCAGTTTTGCCTCTTACTAGTTTTGACAGGGTTCTTTACATTTTATAATATTAACACTATTTTTTGGTCCTTGTTCAGAACTCAAGTGCTTACTGCTTTGTTGTCACCAGTAGAAATAACTTGAAATTGAAAGTGCTATCAAATTAATTAATTCATTTATTTTTATTTTTAAAGTAAGCTCCAATGCGGGGCCTGAACTTACAACGCTGAGATCAAGATCAAGAGTCAGATGTTCAACCAGTTGAACCACCCAGGCACCCCTCTATCAAACTTTTTAAATAAATTTTCTAAATATTGCATTGAATTGGCTATGAAATTTCATGCTCAGTGACTAGTCCTTGAAGAATATCCTATAAATAGACCTCCATTACACAACTGTTGTTCACAAGCCTATGTTGGTGATACTTTCACTGAAGTCCAGTTTAGTCCTGCTCTTAGGATTCTTAAAGTGACCTGTTAGTGCTCGTTTCATTTGCCACAGTTAGTGGCTAGTTATATAAAATAGTACTTATTTCTTGTTAACAAAGAACACGTGTGCACTAAACATAATGCTGTGTTACATGGAATTCTCTTTTCAGGAAGAAGAGTCATTGAAGACACAACTGGCATACTACACTGATAGCAAACACACTGGAAGGCAACTGAAAGATACATTTGCAGATTCCCTTCGATATGTAAATAAAATTCTAAACAGCAAGTTTGGATTCACATCTCGGAAAGTCCCTGCACACATGCCTCACATGATTGACCGAATCGTTATGCAAGAACTTCAAGATATGTAAGTCTTGCTTATTGTTTGAGTTGCTTGCACGTGCTCGGAGCTGTCTGCTTTAAATGGACATCTTTGCTGTGCTTGATGTATGGCTCTAACACTTGGCAACTGATATGTTGAAGGTATCAGCTAAATAAGTGGGAAAGAAAAAGATTCTAACTCCACAAATGTTGGAATATATTTGAATGTAGATTAATGTCTATATTTTAAATATCCAGAGCTCACTATATGCAATGTTTGGACAGGTTCCCTGAAGAATTTGACAAGACGTCATTTCACAAAGTGCGCCATTCTGAGGATATGCAGTTTGCCTTTTCGTATTTTTATTATCTCATGAGTGCCGTTCAGCCACTGAATATATCTCAAGTTTTTGATGAAGTTGATACAGACCAATCTGGTGTCTTATCTGACAGAGAAATCCGAACACTGGCTACCAGAATTCACGACCTGCCTTTAAGTTTGCAGGTGTTGTATTTTTTTTCTCCTAAACCTTCTCTTTTCTTTCACATATTTCATTGTAATGCAAGTAAAAATAATTCTTAATATTTAATGGAGGTATTCACAACTAGTTCATTTTTAGTGCCAGAATTAAAACCAAATTTGAGGTTCATATTTTATGAGATTACATTTTAGACTTTAAGTAGGCATTGCTATTATGTTATCTGGAGAAGAGCCAGACCATCCCTGCATATCAGATTCTCGTGACAAGTTCATTCAGGAGCTTCAGGTGGCCCACTGGAGCTGTGTCTCAGCCAGGCCTGGGTTGTTGCACAACCTCGGTCACAGCATCCTGTAGTCCCAGGAGTAGGAGACTCATTAATGGAGAGTGCCAAGATAAATCTAACTGCAGGACCTCCCATCTGGGGACCCCCTGACCATCTTGTGTAAAATAGTGCCTCATAGTCCAGTATGTTCTACTTCGAGATGAAGATGAAATATTTGTGTATTATCTCATCCTGTGCTTTTTGGGGTGTTTTTAAGAATCATATAGTCAAACTCCCTTTGAAGATAGCATTTAAAGAAATTTTGGAGACTTTTACATAATTTTTATTTTTAAAACCACAGTTATTACTTACACATATAAGGTTTATCCTTTTATTTTGCTTTGTTAGGATTTAACAGGTCTGGAACACATGCTAATAAATTGCTCAAAAATGCTCCCTGCTAATATCACTCAGCTGAACAGTGTTCCACCAACTCAGGAAGCATACTATGATCCCAATCTGGTAAGTGGCATGAGTTCCTTTGTGTAAAAAGGAAGTATATCCTTATCAGGTATTATTTATACCAGTTTTGTATAGCATTTCAAACAGTAGAAGCAGGTTCTATATTTATATCTTTGGTAGACAGCAGAAGTCCAGATAATCCAGAATCATTTATATCTTTTCTTTTCTCCTATCTAGTGGATGGTAAGCTAATATTGAGATTAGTTGCTAATATTCTATAACCAGACATCTGTTCACTAAGGATAGCAGAGGATAGCCAATGAGAATACTTGAGAGTTTTGCTGGTGGCACGGCCTATGTTCACTCTTACTCAAGACTTCTCTTTCCCCTCATCTGTACTTCCATATCTGTCCTTCACTGTCCTTTCTCTTCTCCTTTTGTATCTTTCTTATAAACTTTGGTTCCTAGTAAGACTTTACAGTTACCAAGCCCCTGCATTTACATTAGAACTGCAGTGTGTTCTTTCCTAAGGAAGGTGATTTACACATAGAAAACAGTTATTCTTCTTGCCCTTATAGGCATGATGAAAGATTATTGAGATTTTAGTTTTCTTTTGAAATGCATACATTTTCCTTCATTAGCAAAGTATTTTAGTATTTGCCAGGTTTCTGGCATGAGATTTAGAATCAGCAAATATCCTTTGTTAAGAATTAAGTAAGTAAAGGCTGCTTGCTAATGGTAGTAAGTTAGTCTTGAGGCTCATACAAATAAACTACTTGGAGCATGAGTACAAATTATACTAACAACATTAGTTAACATTACTGGAGTGAACTCTTAGCAAGGTGTTGGCTTCATCACTGTGATTAACTGTGATTATACCTAGGATAAAGTATTTCCTAATTAGATTAAGAATGACAAGTTAGCTTATGAGTATGACATAGACGAGTTCATTACAATTTATGTTAGAAATTTATTTTCTTTCTGAAAAAAAATTCTACCAGTAACTTTTGAGACTATTTTAACAGACAGTGTAATGTGTGATTAAAATAAAAATTTATTTACAAAAACAGGCAATTAGCCTGCAGGCCATACCATGCCAATTTGATTTTTTCAAATACTACATTAAAATATTTGTCTTGATCACGGATTCTTTGGTTCCCCCTTAAATTTTGCACAGAGGTCAGTGCTTCATCTGTCCCACCCTAGTCTTGGCCTGATGCAATGTTTGTATTTTCTCATAGCCACCAGTCACTAAGAGTCTAGTAACCAACTGTAAACCAGTAACTGATAAAATCCACAAAGCATATAAGGACAAAAACAAATATAGGTAAGTAGTACATACATTTTCTCTGTTTAAGAATAATTGTAGGATAGTCTGGCATTTTCATAATTTTACACTAGTTTATCTCTTAAGCCTTCTTTTAAAATTTATGTGAGATTGTTTTCTTTAGTAATACCAAAAGAGTAAGTCATTCTCAGGATATTGACTTGTTAAAGTTTTATAAAATACTTTTTCTTATTCAAATTCTGTTTTTATTTCCACATAAATATTTACACTCCTTAAATATGTTTTGATAATTAGGTTTGAAATCATGGGAGAAGAAGAAATTGCTTTTAAAATGATTCGTACCAATGTTTCTCATGTGGTTGGCCAGTTGGATGATATAAGAAAAAACCCCAGGTACTTTTTTCTTAATCAATAAACTTTACTTTTTTGAGTACTTTTAGGTTCACAGCAAAATTGAACAGAAAATACAGAGAATTCCCATAACTTTAAAAAATGATTTTTTTTTTTAAAGATTTTACTTATTTGAGAGAGAGAAAGCGCAAGCACACAAGCCAGTGGGGGAGGGGGAGAGGCAGAGGGAGAAGCAGACTCCCCACTGAGTAGGGAGTCCGATGCAGGGCTCGATCCCAGGGTCCTGGGATCATGACCTGAGCTGAAGGCTGACACTTAACTGACTGAGCCACCCAGGCACCCCAAAAATGATCTTTAATCATACAAATAAACATGAAAAAAGGCAGTGAGACTCAAGAGAAGAAAGTGGCTTATTTTGTTTGGAGCAGGAATGCCTAATGGTGAGGTAGCGTTTGAGCTAGAGATAGGAGTTGTGAGTTTAGATAGGGTTCCCCTATGCACAGGGACTAGCACAGACTTCTAAGAATCTGGTGACATGAGCTGTTCAGTGAGGCCAAGGGGTGGACTCCATCACGGGGAGTGGGGCCGGACAGCTGAGATTCCCATAGCATTTCTAAGAAGATGCTTCCAGAAAAGTTGTTTTGGTGGTTAGACTTTGCAGTTCAAAGTTCAGATTAACTTCTCAGGAAAAAAAAATGCTCTCACAAATGTGAAAATTGATCCCAGCCTTGGGACTGATAATGTTCAGGTTTGTATAAGTCATGAAAACTTCCAGCCTGGTCCCCTAACAGTTGCCTTGGATAGTTTGATAAAATTAGTCAAAATCTGCATTTTTGAGTTTTGAACTTTAGTGGGAAAATGATATTTCATCAGTTTCCTGGAAAAAAAGACCTTGGCGGCCGCCTGGCCTCAGTTGGTTAAGCGACTGCCTTCGGCTCAGGTCATGATCCTGGAGTCCCGGGATCAAGCCCCGCATCGGGCTCCCTGCTCGGCGGGGGGTCTGCTTCTCCCTCTGACCCTCTGACCCTCTTCCCTCTCGTGCTCTCTGTCTCTCATTCTCTCTCTCTCAAAAAAATAAATAAAATCTAAAAAAAAAAAAGACCTCGGAATATAAAAATTGAATGTTTTTCATCTGAGTCTTTTAAAGATTTTTTAAAAATTTATTTGAGAGAGAGAGAGCGAGCACGAGCAGGGTGAGGGGCAGAGGTAGAAGCAGACTCCCTGCTGAGTAGGGAGCCCCATGCAGAGCTCGATCCCGGGACTCCGGGATAGGGACCTGAACCAAAGGCAGACGCTTAACCGACTGAGCCACTCAGGCGCCCCTCATCTCAGTCTTTAAATGCTTTCGTAAGTCTTCAGTTTCACCTCATTTAAAGTATGATTTTAATTATAAATGAGCAGAGATGTAAAATTTCTAGACAGGTAAAGCCGTGGTATTTTTTTCTAAAAATATCATTCCTGTTGTGGCGGGGGGGGGGGGCAGAAATTGGAAATTTAAGATAAATGGAAACATCTTTAATGCTTATTTAGTGTATTCAGTAAAATACTTTATTTCCTATAAAATAACAAATATTTCCCACACAAGCCAAGTAAACAGTAAGCCATTATGATTAACCTTTTTTTTTTTAATTTTATTTATTTATTTGTCAGAGAGCACAAGAAGGGGGAGTGGCAGGCAGAGGGAGAAGCAGGCTCCCTGCCAAGCAAGGAGCCCAATGTGGGACTTGATCCCAGGACCCTGGGATCATGACCTGAGCTGAAGGCATACACTTAACCAGCTGACCCACCCAGGCATCCCAACCATTATGATTAATAATCACTCAGGTTGTAGCTCTCTGTATATCTGCTGTTCCCTATGACTGGAATGCCCTGCCCTAATTTTTAAAATAACTTTAAAACCAATTTCAGTACTTGCTTTTTGCTTCCCCATTTTGTTGATGTACCCTCACAGTCATGTTGTTATATGTAGGAATACCATGTGAGAATTTATAGTTTTCAGTTGTGCCTTATACCTTTTTGTCTTTGTGCCAGTTTGAAAGTTTTGGGGTGAGAGAATTCATAGACCTTCATGGTACTTAAATGGACAGGGATTTACTAAAAGGACACATGGTAAGCCAGGCTTAGTATCTGCCAGGCCCAGATATCTCCTGTGACCTCAAACAGATCTTAATTTTTAACTCTTACTTGTTTTACTTTTATGGGTGCTCATTTTAAGTCAGGAGTGGAAAACCAGTATTCTGACTGAAGCTTAAAGGACAGGGCTGCCCCCATTAACAAGGAGTCTGGGCTAGGCAGAATCCGGACTTTGCTTTTCCCTCAGGCCTGTTCCTTTCTGCTGCCCTCCTGCTTTTGTTGGCTGCTTCTTCAGGCTGGAGATATTTCTAGATGTCCCTGCAGATGGAGCTATGCTCTGAGACAAAGGGATTGCCCCTTTGTATGTACGGTGTGCTGTCCCCCCATTCTTTCTTTTTAAGATTTTATTTATTTGAGACAGAAGAGAGAGCTCGTTGGGGGGCGGTACAGAGGGACAAGTATACTCCCCACTGAGCACGGACCCCCCAACCCCACGAGGGGCTCCATCCCATGACCCTGAGATCATGACCTGAGCAGAAATCAAGAGTCGGACACTTAACCAACTGAGCCACCCAGGTGCCCCTGTCCCCCCATTCTTATATCAGTTACTGTGAAGAGGATTCACATACACAGTCAGAAGCTGTCTCTGGGGTGGCTTGCCTCCCATTGAATCAGCTCTTCGGGAGACAAATACTGAGCAAAATGCAAATTCTCTCTGGAAGAAACGGGCGAAACCCTGCTAGGCACCCAGCAGGGTCTAATTTAGCTATTGTCCACACACACCCTTTGTCTCATGCATCTACTTTCTTCTTTAATTTTTCCCAACATTATGAAAAATTTTGAAGATAACAGAAAAATTGAAAAAAGTAGTACAATAAATCCCATAAAAACCCAGATTTTAAAATGTCAGTGTTTGATCATATTTGCTTGATTCACACACACACACACACACACACACACACACACACGGGTTTTGTTTTCATTATTTTGTTGTTGTTGTTTGCTGAACCATTTGAAAATTAGTTCCAGACATCCATACATTTTACCCCTAATTATTCTAGTACATATCTTCTAAAACAAAATCATTCTTCTTTATACTGAAGACAGTTAACACATATCTGAGAACCTTAACATTGATTAATACCATCTAATAGATAATCTATATTCAAATTTCCTTAGTTGCCTCCAAATGCCCTTTATAGCTATTTTTTTTTTTAAATGTAGGATACAGTCAAGTCTCATGCATTCTATGTGGTTGATATATCTCTTTAGTATCCTTTAATTTAAGCAGTCCCCAAGTTTAGAGAGTAGAGAGGATAATGAATTTTCACCCATCACTCATCTTCAATAAGAAGTGATTTAAAATGGTTGTTCTTTCATCTAAACACATCCACTCCTTTACTACCACTTCCTGATTTTTTTAATGTAAAATTGTATCATTTTATCTCTAGAATTTTTAAAATAGATTTCTCTAAATTATAACAACTCTTTCAAAATAACCACCATATCGTTATTTATTCCTTAATATGATAAACCATCTGGTCAGTGTACACATTTCCCCAGTTGTCTTTTCTAAACATTTATGTTTTTTACGTTTATTGGTTTGAAGTGGTATCAAGTAAATTCACTGCAATTATGTCTACAGGTTTTCCCTCAACCTCTCTTTTTTAACCATATAATTTTGTATGTGTATGAAGAAATTAAATTATATATTCTGTATATTCCCTATACTTTGGACTACTTTGATTGTGTCTCAGTTGTTTAATATGTTCCCATGTCTATTTCCTATAAATTGGTAGCTGGATCTGAGGGCTTTATTAGATTTAAATTTGGTGAGTTTTTGTCTGTTTGTTTTAAATTTTAGCCATGTACTTTAAAAGTGGTGTTAGCCCTGCCTGTTTTAATGGGCCCTCAGTTTAGTGACTTTGCCTTGAAGGGAACTTGAAACAGTAGGGAAGCATGACTGTCATCTGCTTTTTGCCAGAACTCTAGCACCTTGGTTGGAGACATATTAAAGAAAAGTCATCAAACTCATAGAATCTATAGCTGTAAGGCACCATCTTTATCTCACTTATCCACACCACTATTCTTAGAAATATGATAGAACTTGGTTTTAGGTGTTTATCAGTTTCTCCCCTGGCTGCCAGCAAAATACTCTAGTCAGTGAACTGTATTTATTAAACTCTTAATTGGGGACATGCTAAACAGAAATCATTAATTTATTCCAACAGCTAGAAGGCACTTTTAAGATTATCTTCCCTAGTTCTCTTTGCTTTACAGGTGAGAAAAATTTTACAGAACATTCTTCCCCCAGAGAATCATATCAGCACATACAACAACTTGGAACATGAGCCCATTTAAAATATATTTGGAATCTACATTTCTTGTTTATTGGGTCAAGATCATTTTCACGATAACCAATAACCCTGGATCTCTATTTTTCTAGGAAGTTTGTTTGCCTGAATGACAACATAGACCACAATCATAAAGATGCCCAGACAGTGAAAGCTGTTCTCAGGGACTTCTATGAATCCATGTTCCCCATACCATCCCAGTTTGAGCTGCCAAGAGAATATCGAAACCGTTTCCTTCACATGCATGAGCTGCAGGAGTGGTAAGGTCTCATGTTCACGTGTGTGTGTTTAAAAGTGATGAAATTCCTTTAATGTGTTATTTAATAATTACTTTGTAAAAATATACTTAGAAGTTTTTATTGCACTTATTGGCCAAGCACATCCATTGAGTCTCATTCATTGCCATCAGAATAGCTACCTTGTTTCTTGAGTACCTGTTACATATATGGCCGGAGAACATGGTAACAGAAGCTGCATGATTTGCTCAAGGTGAAGTACCTGGTAAGTGGTAAATCCAGCCTGATTTCCAGCCTTCCCTATGTTCCACTGTAATCCAAAGCTGCTTTATAGTGTTTCCTTCATGTCTTATTTTACTACTATTTACCCCATCCCAGGTGCTGGGAATATATAGATGAAAGGAGTATGGTACCAGGCTCTGAGGCACTCAGTCTCTTCAGAGAAACAGGCTGCAGGCAAACAGTTATGATATCAAGTGCTCTGGCAGGGTTTAATGCTACTGGAGTATGAATGAGGGAGCAGCTAAATTCTATTAGGGGAAGGCAACATTTGGACTTGGTTTCGAATTATGAAAAGGACTTTTTCAGGTAGGAAAGAGCATTCCTGGTAGAAGAAATGGCATGTACAAGGCACGGGGTGTAAAAGAGAGTGTGTGGAGAGAGAAAGGAGAGATGGTGAAGGGCTGTATCTGAATTAGACTTTTTTCTTTAGAGAATGGGGTTCCCCAAGAGAAATTTTTTTTAGATGTTTGTAGTGATCAGACTTAATGATTTGGAAAGATAACTAACAGTATGGAGTGGACTGGTGAGACAGTGTTGTCTGGTAACTAGAGGCAAGGGAGACAAGTACTAAGCATTTCAGTAGCTCTGAAACAGGGTGTGAGCCAAGGACACAGCTCAAGGAATAAAGAGAAAGCAGTAGACAGAATTGGGAGAGATTGTAGAGAGGAAATTAACAACCTTGGCAACTAGAACTCTTTGGTGTCTTGGAGTTGGGTAAATGAGCCAGTTAACATTTATATTGCTAATAGCTATGTATTTTTATTTTCAGAAAGAAGTTATTAAATTGTGGGTGTTATCTTCTAGAAATGGTTTCTCATCATTTTCACTTTCCTTTAGCTCAGAGGAAAAAGATCTTTGGGTGGTTTCAAGGTTAACTCCCCAAATCCAGTTTGTGACTAAGTTTATCCTCAAGGGCCCAAATGAATAAGAAAGGAGTGGGCTTAAGAGTAGTTTGAGAGGATTTTGATTTCTGTGTTATACAAATAAGATAAATCAGCTATAACTCCCTGACTGGGAGGCTTCATTTTCTTCATCCTGCTCAGCTTCTGTGCCCTCTCTCACTGCTGGGCCACCACCACCACCCTATCTTCCAGAAACTTTGCTTTTTCTCTTTCCTTTCATGACACTGTGCTTGAGTCCCCTGTCACCTTTCTCTGGTTTCTCAGTAGGCTTTCTTCCTGTTTCCCTTCCTTGGGTGTAACACTTTCTACACTGCACAGCAGTCTGTCTGGTGTGCTGGTCTCTCCTGATAAGACTGTAAGCCCTCTTCAGGGGCAAAGATGGTGTCTTACTCTTCTCTGAGTCCACAGTGCCTTTCTAGCACATAGCAGGTGCTCAGTGGATGAATGGCTGAGGGAGCCTCCAACTTTTAAAAGTTTCTGGTTGTTGGGACAGCTTAGCTGTATTACAGCCTGTGGCTTCTTAGCTCTTTAAATTACACATCGATTCTGAATGACACCATAGACATTAGAACTAACTGAGCTGGTTGTGATCCTATTAAGAGACATAGGAAATTCAGGAGAAAAATAGAGGTACCATTATCAATATGGGACTTGAAGTAGAGCTATCCACTACAGGACAAGCTGTAAATGAGAATCTGGAACTCAGCACAGAGGCCTGAATTGATAGTTATTAGAATATCTTCCAAGCCTTATGTTAAGCATATATTTAGTCTTCATAATAAATTATTTCCACATTACAGATGAGGAAACTGCTCTACTGCCTCTAACCCCAATATCCTGTCTTCAAGTCCAATTGATTCTACTCTTAGGTTATCTCTTCTGTTGCTTGTTTTCTTTCATTCTCACTGGCCTTCATTATGTTTTCATACCCAGACTAACGTGACTGCCTGGTCACCTGACATGCATCCTTCAGATGGCCACCATTTTTACCCCAGTTGTCACACCCACACCTGCCATTTCATACACTTTCCCACTACAGTATTATGTCCAAACCCTATTGCATATTTTTCCAGAATACCTGCAGTTTATGCCCACCTGCCTTGCCATGGCTTTAGCTCTCTCCCTGATGCTTCTAGGCCAGACTTCAGTTCTGCAGGACTCAGCTTGTTCCTCTGACTCTTTGCTGATGCTCACTGCCTTACTCAGCTAAATGCTTTCATTTAAGGTCCCCCATCCCGCTTCAAGGCTTAAATGAAATGTTACCAAATCTCAGGTGCTTTCCTCATTTCTCTGTTTTTCCACAAGACTTTGCTTTTTTGATAGTACATTTTTTGGTCTATCTTGTGTGATGGCTAGTTATCTGCATGTCATTGACTTCCTAGGCTTATACACAGTTTAGAGCAAGAACTTTTTTTAAGATTTTATTTATTTATTTGACAGAGACACAGTGAGAGAGGGAACACAAGCAGCGGGGAGCGGTAGGGGGAGAAGCAGGCTTCCGGTTGAGCAGGGAGCCCGATGTGGGGCTCGATCCCAGGACCCTGGGATCATGACCAGAGCCCAAGGCAGACGCTTAATGACTGAGCCACCCAGGCGCCCCTAGGGCAAGAACTTCTTGCTCATCGTCTGTATCCACAGAAAGTGTTGATTAAGTGACTGAAGAAATGGATATGAATGAAAGTGTACTTTTGTTTAAATGCTAAAAGTAATTTTCTTTTGAAGTCCTCTCCTCTGCCTGGGTAACTTTTACCATTCAAATATAATATTTACTATGACATAATGAAAAATCCAATCTCATGTTGGAAATGTACATTGTATGAACATTTTCAAATTGCCTCCAGACAATGTTTTTGTGTTTCACGACTTTTTGCTAAACTAGTATATAAATAATTCTAATATAGTAGAACTATGCACAGAACTTTTACATATTTGCTTTCTTCTTTCTCTGAACAGGAGAGCATATCGAGACAAATTGAAGTTTTGGACTCACTGTGTACTGGCAACATTGATTATGTTTACTATATTCTCATTTTTTGCTGAACAGGTAGGTCTTAAATATTTTTTGTGGGGATCAAACATTATTTTTTAGTGTAAGAGTATCTGATTCTTTAGAAAGTGATATAAATTCACAAGAAAATTTTAATTTCTTCTTTTGACTTCTAACTCAGGTGTCGATATGTCAAACATATTTCATAATGTTCAGGCAGCAAACATAATAGTCTTTTATTCATTAATCTTCTAGATGTACTACCAGTATTCTTTTTACCTGGAACTCAGTAGATTGAGTTGTAGATGTCAAGCTAAAACTGAAAATCTCTAAGTATTTCTAACCAAAAAACCCACCTAGAATCCTCATCTGATACTGATTTTGTATGGGTTTTCAATTTTTCTTTTCTTGTAACCTTTCTAAAAGTGACCGCAGTGGCTTATCTTCAGACCTCCTACTCTTCTGTGGACAGTGCCCATTGTGCTCACGTTTCTCCCAATTACCTTTCCTTTGAATTGCAGGAATTTCTCTCCATGCAGGCACATACACACAACCTCCTTCAGATAAAGTCCCAGAAGTAGAAGGGAGATTTGTGAGGTAAAAAGAAAAGGATCAGAGAATCCTTATTTGGTGTAGGCATGAAATGGTCTGAAGAGAAAGGGAACGGTGTCTGGGCTGACCTGACTTACTAGGGCAAGCAAACCTCACCTCAGCCTCCATTTGAGGTGACTGTTGAGTGGAGCCTTTTTACCTGTCAATTATGGGAAACTTGCACTGAGTTTACTTAAACTGAGAAGGAGGAAGAGGCTGAAGTATTGAGAACTTTAGAATAAACAGTGCCTGGGCTTCCTGCCATAATGGAAGGAAATAAGAAAATGGGAGATTGGGCAGGCAAGCAGGACTGCAATTTAATCTTCATCCATTTCCCAGCAAATATCAGTCTTCTTCTTATGGCCATTATTCCTGGCTGGTAAAACTGCCCCTGCTCTAGAACAGAGGTCCACTGAGGAACTAGGAGTCAGCAGTGTGCCGGCTTGCAATGGGGAGAAAAGGCACGCTGGCTGAAGGGAGCAGCAGGCGGCAGTGGGAAGGAACAGGGGGGCCAGGCCAGTCTTTTATCTATGTCATTTACACCAGTAGAGAACAGGGAACCAGAGAGGCAAGGAAGGAGAAAAGAAGGGAAGAATAAATCCTCTCTTCTCTCTGTCCCGTTGCTCTTTACCTACTTGAATCAAATTCCTTAACCTCTACCATGCTTGCAACAAACCAGCCAACACTGCCTCTTCCTCTGCCCCAGAGTCCCAGCTCATGACTCAAACCACGGTGGCCTGTACTTGGGCAAAGCCCTGCTTCCACCCTGAGATGGAGTAGACAGTATGATCCCAAACTGAAACCATAAAGAACACATTTGTTTTTCTCACTGATGCTTTATTATAATGGCAGGCAGGTTTCCTACTTCAGATGTGTCATGGATAAACCGTTTCTTTGAGAAAGAAGTGTTTGTCCAAGTTCTAAGCTAGTAATTTTAAAGTAACTTTTTGCATGACAACCCATTTCATAAATTAGGTATTACCTGTATTTTCAAAAGATTATTGCTATGTTTAAAGATAGGGTAGAAGTGGTGATAGGATGTTAATATGGGTTTTTGTTTTTAAAGTTCTGTCTTACATACGTAGCCATTTTCAAATTGAGGGCAGTGTTTTAATAGCTAAATAGAGCCAGGTTCCTTCAAAAGAAAGACTTGACAAATAGGTATTTTGAAAATAAATATGCTTGGTGTAATCACTGTGTAAAAATCTGTAGTTATAGGTCTTTAAAAAAGTGAAGCATAGGCCAAAATCATTTTAATCCTTGTGGGTTTAAATATATTGTGGGCACATATCTAGGCATATTGACCCTATAACAAAAGTAGTGGTTGGTTTTATTCTGGGGAGGAATGATGGAGACTTGTTTGTTCTGTTTTTTTTTTTTGGTTTTGTTTTTTTTTAATGTAGAAGACTATGGAAATGATTAAGGTCATAGGACTCTAAAGTTTGTTAACATGGAGAATTAAAATTTTTTTTGTCTTTCATTATCTAGTTAATTGCACTTAAGCGGAAGATATTTCCCAGGAGGAGGATACAGAAAGAAGCTAGTCCCGATCGAATCAGGGTATAGAAGATCTTCATTTGAAAATCATCTACCTCAGCATTCACTGAGCATTTTGAAACTCGGCATCATAGAGGTGTCTTCATGATGTGATGCTTAGCCAGCCTGGCCTGAAGAAGGAAAAGCATCCAGTACAATACTTGTTTTGTGGTATGAATATAGCCTACTGACCAGGAATTGTTTAACCAAGACACAGAAAACTTGTGTGTTGAGTAGCTCTGACCTGGTTTTACTTTTAAAGCATTTGCTCATGGACCCATCATTCTTTTAATGAAAAATCTGACAAGAGAGAGCTACCAAGTTCCCATAGCAACCATTGCCAACTTTCACATGAAAAGCCTAGGCCAGCTTGGGAGCCATTGTTTTTGTTTTTTCCATTTCCCATTTTTAAAATAAGTAGCTACTAAGTTATCTAGTTACCCTTACTTCTGAAAATAATGAATTGGGATATCTAAACACGTTTTTATAGATGTTATTTAAATAATGCAACAATTATGGTTTTTATTAACATTTAAGACCATAAGTGGTCAAACTACTGATGAGATCAATGACTCACATCTGAAGTACTTTGTGCTTGTTTACTTCAGCCCCTAAGAATGTGATTTCATGCAGAGGCCTAATTACAAAGGGCTAGAGTTAAGTAGCAGAGCTACCTTCCAGATGTAATTATGTTTTGGAAATGTACATACTCAAACAGAAGTGCCTCATTTTAGAAATGAGTAGTTCTGATGGTACTGGCACATTACAGTGGTGTCTTTTTTAATACTCAGTATATTCTAGTAGCTAGCTCTTTCAACTGCTTTCACATAATGCAGGGGTCAGCAAACTTTCTGTAAAAAGCCACATAGTAAATATTTGCAGGCCATATGTGTCTCTGTTGCATATTCCTTATTGTTCAGTTTTAGTGTTTTTTTTTTTTTTAACCTTTAAAACTGTCAAAAACCATGTTTAGCTTGCAGCTGTACAAAAGCAGGCCACCACCTGGATTTGGCCCACAGGCCATTGTTTGCTGACCACTGGGATAGAGAATTCGTATTTTTATGTACGAGTAAGCCCTGATGTTCAGCTGTGTTTTATTTATATCATTATAGTGAATTTCTGGAGATTATATTCCGTAAGTCCTTTTTGAACTCTAACAGGTATTTTAAGATCATGATCTCAACAGTATTCTTTCAACACATATTTTGTAAAAAGAACTTGTAATGTAAATAGTGTTTGTGCTATAAGTGTTACGTATTTCAAAATGTGAAGTCTCATAAAAACTTACATTTTGTCTGATGCTTTGATTTTTAAATCTTTAAGGAATGAGTTTATTGTTATCCAGATTCCACAATCACTTGAGGGTTTGTACAGTGTAGCAGCGTCTGTGAACACAACTGAACATAAATGGAAAGTAATGTAAGGAGAGAGTAGTACTATAACATACTGGCAAATGTCATGTTATAGGGGGAAAATAAGTTCTAAATGGGATTTATCATATGGTAAAAGTTGAGGTTTCTGGGTATCATTCTAAATATGAAGAATTTATTATAGAAAAGTTATAGAGAAATTAACATTTGGGTGTGCTGGACATTTCTATGGTTAGATGAATATAGTCCATATCTAATTCAGAGCTTAATAGGTAATAGGATAGAAAATAGAATCATAGAATTATTCATAGAATCGTTTCTCTAAATGATTCTGTAGTGATTCTGTAGAATCATTGGAACGGAAGAATCTCAGAAGTTGATGAGTAGTCAGATGGTTTCAAAATTTTTAAAGCCTCAGAATCATTAGTTCAAATGAAATCCTATCAAAGGCCAGTATGTAACACAGAAGAAGGAAAGCTCCTTGTCCTGCTTGACCCCAGTGATCCCTCCAAACTCCCAGGCCTGACAGGCAGAGTTTCAGAATAACTCCCTGGACTACACCCTGCATTTTATCATCAAGGACACCAGGGCCAGGAAGATTACGTGATTTGTCCAAGGTCTCACAGCCAGTTAGAGGCAGAGGTAGGTTGGAGCCCTGATTATGTCTCTTTTCCCATCCCCACCAGGCCGTGCTGCCTCTCCATGACATACAGGCAGAAGCGGGAGAAAAGCATACTCTCTGAAGTCAGACTTCGGGGGTTTGAGTCCAAGATCCTGGACATTGTTTGCTACAATTTGGCTTTCTCCTAAAATGTGGAAGGCAATAACTGGTATCTACCTAATAGGCTTATAGTGATGATTAAAGGAAAGGACGTATGTAATACATCTAGCCCAGTGCCTGGGAAATTACTCCTGCCTGGTAATGTCAGTGGTGATGATGGTAGTGATAAAAGTTTGTATGTAAAGGATTGCTATCCAGACCAGGGGTGAGGTTTTTAGTGTAGTCATTAGGATGAAATGATTACATTGCCCTTAGCTTAGAAAGTTACACATATTCTCATTTTTTTAAAAAAGTGGTTTTTTGCCTACTTTATTTCTTTGAAAGTATTTTTAAAATTATTTCTACATATACAAAAAGTATACAAAGTCTAATGAATAACAGCTCAAGGATTTAAAAGGAAAGTGTAATTATAACTGAGGTCAAATCACTTAAGGAAGAAACAGCACCAATCCCACAAAAATTCCTCCAGAGAGTAGAAAACAAGGGAACACACCATCTAACTCATTCATTGAGGTGAACACAGCCCCACACCAAAGGCTGACACAATTACCATAAGAGAGGAAAACGACAGGCCATCTATCTCAAGAATCCCATATGAAAACTAACAAGCCACATTCCGATATCCTTCAAAGAAACAACTCTTTCTTGATCAAACTGAGTTTACTCCAGGAATGCAAGGTTGACCCAATATTTGAAAATCAATGCAGTTTTTATCAGCAGGACCCAAAAGAGAAATTCCATGATAATCTCAATGAACCTTTCTTCAAAAAAGATTATAAAAAATTTAAAAGTAGAGTCTAGCACAATGACTTCGATCTGTTCAACAGTTACCAATATTTTGGCACATTTGTTTGCTCTATTCTCTTTGTTGATGTATTTTAAAGTAAATCCCAATTTCATGGAGCTAGGAGTACAAAGTTCCAGTTGTTGTTAAGGGGAGGTGAACGGGCTTTTTGTCAGTCTAACTGCAGTGCTCCTTCTTCCACTTGCCCTAATAACAGCTACATCTTAGTGAACACATTGCGTATGCTAAATGACTTATGCTCATAATCCCATTTCATCCTCACCATATTCCCATTTTACCACTGGGGCCTAACTAGTTTAAGTGGCTTGCCCAAGGTCTATAACTATTTAAGTGGCAATGCCACCTTTTGTGTGTCTCCAAAATTAACTCTTAGCCACTAAGACACACTTGGATTGCAAGGGACAAAAAAACAATAAAGGGTGGAAGAGACAGATACCCTGCCAAGACTGTTGCTCAACACAGCCCATCCCGGCCTCCGTATGTCAGCTTTTCTTCCCACAGTGGGGTTGTGGCAGTTCCTGGCTCACATCTCTCAGAGAGACAGGAAGCTGCTTCTCTGGCTCCAATATAGAAAACCCTGGTGGAGATGAGTTAATATGATTTGTGCCCACTTCTATAGCCACGGAGATGGAGACGTTTACCAAATGGAGGAGGGGAGGGGTGCTGGCCTGACAAAAACACTAGCTTCACAGAATAAAGTTTGGGTTAATGTGAAAGACCAAGTTCCTGGGTTAAATACTTAAGTTGAAGGCAAGCTGCCATACTTGAAAAAAATTAGAAAAATCAAATTTGTTGATTAGAATATAGTGAATCTTACAAATTTTTCATTATTGAAAAGATTCAAAGAAATGTTTGCAAAGTATCAGTATAGCACCTGTCACATAGTAAGTGCTCCATAAATGGTTCACAGTTATGGTTATGGTTCACAATTGGTCCCAAGTTGTCTCTCTGATCTTCCTTCTGCTTTTCCTCCCCTGCCTCACCCATGGCCACACACTGTGCCAGCCACATTGAATTTTCCCAAACATGTTATATACACTTTTATCCCTCTGTATCCTTGCAGATTCTATTATTGGTTGACCTATCTTTTTCTTGCTTACCTATCCATTAAACTCCTACTCATACCTCAAGGTAGGAGTCCATCATTATATTTCATCTACCAGGAAGTTTTCTAAGAGACTAACTGCATCACCTTAGTTCTTTGAAACAATGAATAAGGAAACAAGGAATGTAATATTTAGGCTTTCAAATGACTTTGACAAGATTCTACACCACTGGTTACTAAAGAAAATGAGAGGACATTATGTCAGAAATCCAGTTACTTAGAGTAAATGGGCAAATATGGAGGAGTATTAATGTGGTCTTCTAAGAATTAGCACTGAGTTCATTCCAGCATTATTTATAATAGCCAAGATATGGAAACCTAATTGTCCACTGATGGATGGATGGATAAAGATGATGTATATATATATATCTTGTAATTATTTTTTTTCTTCCAAGTTTTTATTTAAATTCAAGTTAGTTAACATATAGTATGTTGGTTTCAGGAGTAGAATTTAGTGATTCATCACTTACATGTAACACCCAGTGCTCATCACAAGTGCCCTCCTGAATGCCCATCACCCATTGAGCCCATCCTCCCACCCACCTCCCCTTCAGCAACCCTCAGATTGTTCTCTATAGGTAAGCAACACTTACAGTTTGCCTTCCTCTCTGTTTTCATCTTATTTTTCCTTCCCTTCCCCTATGTTCATCTGTTTTGTTTCTTAGATTCCACATGAGAGAAATCATATGGTATTTGTTTTTCTCTGACTTATTTTGCTTAGCATAATACACTCTAGTTCTATCCATATCGTTGGAAATGGCAAGATTTCATTCTTTTTGATGGCTAAATAAAATTCCATTCTATATGTACACACACACACACCTTTATCCATTTATCAGTCAGTGGACACTTGGGCTCTTTCCATAGTTTGGCTATTGTTGATAATGCTGCTTTAAACATTGGGGTGCATGTATTCCTTCAAATCTGTATTTTTGTATCCTTTGGGTAAATACTTAGTGCAACTGCTGGGTCATAGGGTATTTCTATTTTTAACTTTTTGAGGAACCTCCATACTGTTTTGATTATGTGGTATATTTATTTATTTTATTTATTTTTTAAAGATTTTATTTATTTATTTGACAGAGAGAGACATAGCGAGAGCAGGAACACAAGCAGGAGGAGTGGGAGAGGGAGAAGCAGGCTTCCCGCAGAGCAGGGACCCCGATGTGGGGACTTGATCATATATTTATACAATAGAATACGACTCAGCCATAAAAAGAAGGAAATCTTGGCATTTGTGAGAGCATGGATGGACTTTACGAGTATTAGGCTAAGTGAGATTAAGTCAGAGAAAGACAAATACCATATGACGTTACTTACATGTTGAA